ACGGGGATAACTTCAACAGCTGCCCGTTCAGGCCATGTGCAGCAGTGATGCCCGAACGGTTTGCTTCTATCTTCAGTATTTACCCGCCTGACGACTCCATCCCATCTGAAGGAGGCTGTGCTCAGTGAGCGAGTGACTGGCCAAGAGAGACAGGCCCTGCTAGAAACCCCACGCGATACCGAGAGCAGGGACTTGGCGCGCAAGAGGAATTGATAAAAGTCCACTGCTCGCCCGCTTCGTTCTCACAAGATCCTGCTCTAAATGCCCCCAACCTCCCTTGGCGCGACTTGGCATTGGCAGCGGAGAGGGGGAGCGACCGATCGCCCCGTATTTCACCACTGTCAGGCAGCAGGCCAGCGCTGAGGATCTCAAAGCAGAGCACTGATTGCTTGATTGAGGTCGCCTAATGGAGCGGCTCTACACGGGCTTAGATGCGCCTCCAATTGCCAATTAAGACGTAGGAGCCGCAGTGCCAAACTACGGCAACGTTAGTGTCAAACATCGAAGCCGTTGTCGCACTTGACAGCGAGCGAGGGGGCTTGCGTCACAGGGTTGGGGGGCCCCATGTGCATCCATCTGGGGCTCTGCTGCAAGCCATCTCATCGCTGTCGGGGCTCGTCCCCTCCCTCCCGCGTAGTCCTCCGCCAGGGTAATATTGGTTAGGTTGGCGAGGGTATCATTCCCTAATTTCCCCAACAAGCGATTGCTACCTTTATAGAAGTTGAAAGACCTGGAGTATCTAGTTAATGAGAAGAGCCTTCGAGATCTTGGTGAGCATTACGACTCTGAGCATTTCGGGCTGAGTATCTTCACCCTTCCAGGATTGAACTTTTATAAATCTAGCGGAGGTGTACAAGTAGGGCAGGTAGTCACACGCACAAGTATGTCATCGTCGTACCAATCCAGAGAGCGAGCGGCATGCGTTTGTGTCTATGCACATGCCATGCAACCATCAGCCGATTCGTTCGCGGGCTGCAGCATCGGGGGGGGGGTTGCGCTAGAACTCAGCCCCTGGCCACTCGAGAGGCTTCTGAATCGTCCGCTAACTCCTGCCAGGTGTTGCGGGCGGCGGGGTTCTTCACCGAGCTTGGTTTGGGCCGTCGGTAGGTCTGGAGGGTATGGTGAGCCTCGGCGTTGCTGGGTATGCTACCCGGCACTGCGCGGCTTAGAAATGCGGAATGTGGAAAGAGCTTGTTTCGAGACTGAGAGTCCAGATCAGCATATGGCCGGTCATCGGCCTTGGACATCTTCGGCGGTATACGTTCGTGCACGGGGGCTGAAAAGAGAGCAATGAGCCCAGCGGAACAAAACCGCCATTGCTATCATGGTCAGGCCAGATTCGGTGACTCAAACTTTGCCAGATGACCTGCCCTGGTGGCATTGAGGTGCATGCTATGATCACCGTCGATCGCATTATCAATCAGCAAATTTCACTTGCATCGGGGGGGTCTGCGCAGTCGTTGATATGTGCTCTATAAAATTACGTCTGCTCGACAGGCTGTATTATCTGACCAGTCCTCGACGCGGAAAATACAATATCATAATGCATTAGTCTCTCATAACTTCCTTCCTGACTCTAGTGATTGCCAATTGTGGTTTGAAATGCAAAACAACACAACATAAGCAAAGCGGGGATATCAAATGGTGTGGTGAACAGAAGACAACCGGCCCAGCCAGGCCTCGCTTTTAGTGAGACATGACCTCAGGGGCAGCCGGGTGTGGAGCGTTGCCGACAGGCTTGTCGCTGTCGACCTCCATCTCGTCGCCGTCAGCGGCCTCTCCCTCGCCCTCCTCCTCCTCGTCGATCTCGTCTTCGCTCTCGCCCTCAATATCCACGCTGCCATCGTCGGACATCTCGTCCTCCTCGGCATCGGCACCGTTCTCGGCGTGCTCTTCCACGCCCATCATGGCGGCGTCCTCACCAGCTGCCTCAGCGGCAGGCTGCTCCGCACCCTCAGCGACCTCCTCTTCCTCCTCCTCTTCGCCCTCATCAGCGCCGTACTCCTCCTCATCGACGGCCAAGTCGGCCTCAGGCTGCTCAGGGGGGAACTCGGCCGGGGCAGACGCATCAGAGTCCCTAGTGGATAGATATTAGCAAGGTCTCTGAGAATGCAATCATGTGACATGACGCGGCATACCACTTGATGGCGAAGCGCGTTACGCGCGGCTTCTCTGCGAGGACGTTTCTGCGGATGCGGTCGATGATGGGCTTGGCAGGAGGGTCCGCGATGAGCTCATCCGAATCGTACTCGTTGTTGACGTAGTATCCAACACGCACAAACTCTCGCTCATCGTAGGCGCAGGTCAGGAGGATGACGGTGACACCGATGATCTCGGCATCGGGGATGCGCTTCGTGTCTGGGGCATCGGCCTCGAACACAAACTTGTTGACACCGACAGGAATGGGTCCGACGAGGAGTGAGTCGAGCTCTTGATCATATTGATCGCTAGACGGAGATTAGTATGATGGCGGTGTGGAAGGGATGTTCGAGTGACGTACGAAGTAGCAGAGCCAACATAAGTGAGCTTCCACTCGAGATCTGTAGGCAGAGGTGATTAGACAATGGCAGCAGTTGAAGTAGCGGTGTCGCCTACCCTTCTCAAGCTGCTCTAGGCACTCGAATGTAATTTCAAAGACATATTTGTCACCGAACTTGGCAGGGTTGTTCAGGACATTGACCCCGAGAAGTGAGACGACAGACATCTTGTCTGGGTGCTGGTGTGCGATCTGATGAACGTGGAAAGAGATTTCGGGGAGAAGATATCTAGAGAGCTACAGTAAAATGAGACAAAAAGCTGATAAAATTTGGGTCGCGAAGGGCGGTCGCAGGCTTGTTTAAATGCGAAGGACCGTGGCTGTCGTGCTTCTTGTTTGTTTTGGGAGGGCTGGGTGTGTTATCAAGGTGAGAGACGTCAAGGTAGAGAGGTAGCAAGGCAATTTGTCTGGCTTGGATCAAAGTAGGTCAATCCGAGAAGGCAGAACGCGCTTTCTGCTAGAAGTAACAGGGACCGCGTAAAGAGGGCTGCGGATAACGCGACCGTGGTGGGGACCCCTGTAATTGACCTCCTTAGGTACCCTACCGGTACCTCACCTTTCCAGAGGGCGCTGTGCCAGCGACAGCTGCCCGTGCGTCCATCTGCTGGCCCATCGCCGCTCAAATCTGCCAGCTATCACCGCCTGCCTCCTCCGGCCTAGCGCGGGAGCACCTCAGATCTAGCGGCTGAAGCTCACCTCCCTGCTTGACGCTAGCTACCTAACCGGCAGGCTTGTTTTTTTTCCAGGCCTCGATTTCAACAAACAACCATCATCTGCATTTCTCCGTCATCTTCTCCCGCCACCTGCATCCTGGGCGAGGGATATCTTCATTCTCGAATAGCGCATAGTTCAGGTCTTCTGTGCTCTAGTGTGCTGTGCCCTTCTGCCGAAGTCCATTTCTGCTAGTCTCTGTCGTTCTGGTGATTCCAACTACTTGTCGCTTTGTCGTCACAGCCAACTAGTCGCAAAGACACTCTTCCTTGAAGCTTAACAAAGGAACACCCTGTCACTCCACTCCTGACTCACTGCAGGCCCTTCCTCATGCTCGCCGAATCCCTCTCGAGTGTCTCTGTGCTCGTCGACCGCTTCCTTTTCGAGACCACCTGCCCTTGGCGCGCGTCCTCCTGCGACCTCAATTCCCTCCGTATTTGACAGTACGCTGCTCAGGACATCAACACAATGGCAACCGAGTTTCCCGATAACGACCCCGTTCAGACGGAGAACGTATGGGCTCAAGAAGAGGGGTATGGGGGCGACGAGGAGAACCAAGAATCTCATTACCAACATAGTGACAACATTCAAGAAGAACCAGAACCAGAACCAGACTTCAATGTTGCTGCCGCACTTCGTACCTCTGGTGATTCTGCATCTAATGCTGATGGCGCGTCCGAAGATGTGGGTGACTATGACCCAGAGTCTGTCACGATCGTGACCAACTCTCCTCCTCCACCGGCTGAGGAGCAACAAGCTCCCAAACCGGCCCCCCAGCCCGTTTCAAAAAAACCAAAGACAGCTGGAGGCTTCCTAGTGGGAGACTCTGATTCAGAGGATGATGATTCCACTCCAGCCTCAAATAGTCACCTGGCTGAGCCGCTTCAGAATGCTGCTCGGTCGCAGACCCATTCTCCCTTGCACCGCTCCACTTCTGCTCAAGAGGCCGGTGAAGCGCCTTCTAATGTCCCTTCATTGTCCCAGGTGAACCATGCCACGGCTAGTTCAGCAGGAGGAGCACCTCCAATCCCCCAGATCCCCTTATCTAGATCCGCCGTACCAGCCAGACTCCCCCAAGATTCAATAGGCATCTTCGAGGACCGTATCAAGGAAGATCCTCGCGGTGCAATGGATTCATGGCTGTCGCTAATTGCCGAATACCGTCGTCGAAACAAGGTTGAGGATTCAAGAGCTGTGTATGATAGGTTTTTAGCAGTGTTTCCCCAAGCAGTAGGTGATGCACCGTCTCCTCGTTACGATCATGACTAACCTGTTACAGGCTGATATCTGGGTGGCCTACATGGAGATGGAGTTAGGCATGAATGATTTCCCGGCAGTTGAGAGCCTTTTCAACAGATCGCTGATCTCCGTTCCCAACGTCAAGCTTTGGACCGTTTATCTAGACTATGTCCGCCGTCGCAACGACTTGAGTGACACCACGGGCCAAGCTCGCCAGACTGTTACCCAGGCTTACGAATTCGTGTTGGACAATGTTGGTATTGACAAGGATTCTGGGTCCATCTGGTCGGACTACATCCAGTTCATTCGTCATTCACCAGGAGTCGCAGGAGATACTACCTGGCAGGGCGGCCAGAAGATGGATCTCTTGCGTAAAACATACACAAGGGCAATCTCTGTCCCGATTTCGAATGTCAATACGTTGTGGAAAGAGTACGATCAATTTGAGATGGGACTTAACAAGACAACTGGGCGCAAATTCCTTGCAGAAAGGTCGCCAGCCTACATGTCGGCAAAGAGTGCCAATACTGCACTGGACAACATTACTCGTGGACTGCAGCGGACGAATCTTCCGAGGTTGCCACCAGCCCCTGGTTTTGAGGGTGATGAAGAGTACATGAGCCAGGTCGAGCTGTGGAAGAAGTGGATTGCGTGGGAGAAATCCGACCCCTTGGACCTCAAGACTGATGAGCCAGATCTACTACAGAAGCGTATCTTGTACTGCTACAAACAAGCCCTGATGGCGTTGCGCTTCTGGCCAGAGATGTGGGTCGACGCCGCTGAATGGTGCTTTGACAACGCAATCACAAAAGATGGTGTGGATGTCGGTCTGGATTTCTTGACGCAGGGCATCGCCGCAAATCCTGAGAGCGTTCTACTTGCCCTCAAACATGCCGACCGCATTGAAGAGACCCATCCTGTGGAAGAAGGTGACGCTGCAAAGGCTGAGAGAGGCGCCGCGGTTCGCGCTCCCTACAATAAAGTCCTCGACACTCTGTATGATATCATCAAGGGCGTGAAGGAGAAGGAAAAGGCCGACCTCGCTAAGGTCGAGGAGATTCTAGCTCTAGAAGCGAATGCTGCAGCATCTAATCCAGCTCTAGACGATGAAGAGGATGTCGATGGCCACGAGGGTGATTCAAAAGAGGCACAGAGGCAGATGAGGATCAAGGCTATCCAGCAAGGAGTTTCTGCCCAGACGCAGCTCCTCTCCAGAACTCTCTCCTTCGTGTGGATTGCCCTAGCGAGGGCAATGCGTCGTATTCAGGGCAAGGGTGTCATCAACACTCCGCTTGGCGGACTGAGACAGGTCTTCACTGAAGCCCGCACGCGAGGTCGTCTGACGAGCGATGTCTATGTGGCAGTTGCTCTTCTGGAATGGAATGTGTACAAAGACAATGCAGGTGTGAAGATTTTCGAGCGCGGTGCCAAGCTCTTCCCCGAAGACGAGAATTTCATGGTCGAGTATCTCAAGTTCATGCACTCGAGAGACGACTTTACAAGTAAGCTTTTCGTCTCCATTGACCTTTAGTATCATCACTAACATGTTGCCAGATGCTCGGGTTGTTTTCGAGACTTGTGTCAATAAGTTGACCCAAAAGCCTGAATCGGTTCACAAAGCCAAGCCTCTCTACGCCTACTTTCACAGATTCGAGTCTCAATACGGCGAGCGTTCCCAGATCGCCAAGCTAGAGAAGCGAATGGCGGAACTTTTCCCTGAGGATCCCAAGTTATCATACTTCAGTGCTCGCTTTTCGACGGAGAAGTTCGACCCCATCGCGGCACGTATCATCGTCTCTCCTGCTGCACAGTTGCGCCCAAAGATGATCATGCCATCGATTGAAACACGGGCATCCGTCCTCAATAGCCCCAGGCCATCCGTTCGACAGCAGCAGAGCCCGCGGCCGCAGTTTCTCCAAGCAACAAACTCGCCGAAACGTCCGTTCCCGATTGATGACTTCGAGGATGTCAATCCTCCACGGAAGATGCAAAGGGGCGAGTCTCCCCTCAAGGGCGCGGCAGGTCGACGGCTTGACCAACAGAGGCGGCTGCAAGGCCAAAGCTCCGCTTCTTATAGTGCTACTCCAGCTCCCATCTCTCGAGACATTACTTTCCTTCTGGGTCTCATTCCACCTGCAGCATCATATGACTCTACGCGATTCAACCCTGCTGGAATGGTGCGTCTTCTACGAGACACTTTTATTCCTGATTACACGGCTTGGAAGAGTGGTCAGGACAAAGGCCTGCGAAACGACGGTTCTCAGCCGCGTCCTGGAGCAACTGTTCATAATCGACAGGCATCTACCGACTATCCTCAGTACCAGTTCCAGTCCAGGGACTCGCCAAACCCTGGCCGACCGCAGAGCCCATACGATAGCAGCCGTGGCAGACTCGCGCCGGCTTCTGCTACTTACAGACAGTCGTCGCTACGTCCTGGATCTAGCGGATCGTACGAACCACCTCCGGCTGCCTACCGGCAAGATATACCTCCCGCGCAGTACGGCGTACCCCCGGGCCAATTTCCGGTTCCTACTCCAGATGCCAGTGGTGCCCCCTGGCCACCACCTCCCGGTGCATATGCTGTCCCTCCACCTCAGGGCTATGCCCCACCTCCACCTCAATATGGCCAACCTCCGCCGCAGCAACCCCCTTACAACCGATACTATTGATCAAGTCGGCCCGAGGTGACATCGTGGCCGGCCATTCTTCTGTGATGGTTAATCATCTACATAAATGCTCAGGTCCTTTGATAATGTCCGGATTACACATTTGTGACAAGCTAGAGTCTGTCCACCTGCGTAACGGAGTGTGGTCTCAAGAGCAGGCCACACCACGACCTCGTGCATGTCGCGAGCGTATGATGCTTCTCCGTCGACCATCACTGGTCTATTAGGGCATCATGTATGTAACAGTATTTCTCCAGCTTTATGAGTCTCGGGTGGTGCCCTTCAGCGGATCTCATTTCCCACTTTATGGGTCAAAATCAGGGCCAGAAACGATCAAAAAGGATGCCTAGGGTATGTGACTAGAACAGCCGCCAGCAGTCTCGATGGCATTTGGAGCCAATGCCTACCGAGATTCACTCCGCCATTCAGGACTACACAGGGGCATTATGTAGAACATTGGAGCGTTGCTTATAGCTGTGGCGTCCTTCGAATACAAGAGATGCTATTGAATATATGTATCTCGATTATGATTGTGATTAGTGCTGTGCTGTGTTGCGCCCTTGCCTGCGGCAGGTGCATCGTTTAACTAATGTTGATTCTGCCCTTCCTCCCATCAAAGCAAAGCTACTCCATACGTTTTTGCAGAGACTCCGCCGCAAGGTGCGAGCCTTGCCTTCCGCCTTGCATGATCTATAGCTAATTCATCCCTCCTGTCGAATTCCGATGTGCCTTGAAACCAGGTGATGAAGGAGGACTTAGGTATAATGGAGGATCATGGGTATAGGGTAGGCAGTGATACGGTCAGGGGCTCAGCGGAGCAACGAGATTGTGGCCAGCACTCCAGAGCAGTTAGGTATCCAGAAACGCGTAGAGCGCTTCATCTCGCTGGGTTACCTCGTAGTTAGATGCCACTCAGGTTCACAAAGCAGAAACACAAGGGGCCAGCTCATTACCTCTAGGGGTTATCTTGCTAGATCCCCGTGTCAACGCTCAGCGCAGCCCAGGGGCAACCTAAATCCACCGCTCCTGCCGTCCTAAGCCCCTTTTTGTGCCTGCCTCGACCGCGTACCTGCCCCTATCTAGGTAGGTAGCCACCTTAAAGTCTTTTTCCACCTCCTCCTTTCCTCCTTTCCTTCATCAACAAACGGTCCATTACTGCCCGTACCTTACTAGCGACTTAGCCCGGTCTATGGTTTCGCCCTACTCTCAATATCTAACCTGCCACCCTCGCCTCCCTCTCGAAATCGTCCTGCTCCCAGTGTGGCCTCATCCCAAACAACATCCTTCTCTGTTCCGCTTGTCTTCCCTTTGACCCCATTCCCACAGTTTCTGGTGGTGCGTCAACACAAACACGAGACAAACATCTTACATTTTTTTGAAGGCCGTCTTGAACCACATAGAGCATACAGCTTTCTTTGTCAAGGTATGTTTAGATGTCCTGCTGTCGGTTGCCTAGGCAGATTGTGCACACACAAGCATCAGCATCTCAACAAGCACCAAGCACCAAGCACCAAGCACGTCCCTCAACACCTTCGTCCCATTTACATCTTTCCATTCCCTCGGTATTCATTGTGCAGAGCCTCCTCTAGTCATCCGATTTTGTTTCTGCAAACTCCACGTGGCACACTCCACGTGGTCGTTTATTTGAACCTCACACTAGTGGTGCAATATTCACTCCTTCTACAACCCTCCGTCTACAGCGTTTAACATACTACCCAAGCACTACGTTTTCTCTCCTCATCGTCACCAACAAAACTCTTCCCTACCCAGGCGAACTGGTCGTCATAAGTTAGCACGGATAACTTCCTGGCACCCGAATCGCAAAACGCTTCGTTCAAGCCCAAGTAAATCTCCCCCCGCTAAGCGTCTGTTCTCTTGCCAACTTCCATCACACTTTCTCCCTTCTTCATCTCTCGACCCTTCTCTACCCAAGATCCTAACGGACTTCAGCCTCCATCGCTGGGGATCCCTCGTCAAACAAAGCAAAGCAGGTAAGTCGTCTCCAGGCCGCGTAGCCTTATAAACAAGCACCACACTTCCTGACAGCAAACCGACTCCTTCCACAACACATCTACTCTACTGTTCTCCTCTCCCACTCATACAGCAGACTTCCGTCCCTCCGGTCAACCCCGACTCCTCATTAAGGCGAGTTTTCCACATCACGGCAACATCCATTTCCTTCCATCTACCAAGGCCGCGTTTGGCTTTCCTCAAAGCAAATAACCCTCCCCAGTCAACATTAAATATCAAAAAAACAATCCCATCATCCTACGTTTCCACTTCCAGCCAAGCACCCACAAGCACAATACCTCCTGAGGAAACGCAACACTTGTCGTCCCTTCCTTGACCGATGTATTTATCTGCTGTGGTTGTTTTCACAAGCTAGACCACAAGTATTTATTCTCCTCGTTCTCTGCCCTTCTCTCTCGTCCCACCCACTCCATCATTCAGTGCAACCTATTTCCGACCCTCTTCGACCTTCCATTTACTTCTGAAGGTCCATCCAGGGAGACACTTACGCAACGAACACACTCTTTCCTCTTTCACCAGCAATCGCCTTTTCTTACCTTCCACCTCCACCATACCAGAAGAGCTGGCCTAACGTATACCAGCCGTCAAGTTTTCAATCAAATACCTCCCCATTCCTGACTTGGTAAGCCCGTAATCTGCTGGATATAAGCATCTCTCTCCCTTTCCACCGCTTCTACACTCCTTCTCAACTACAATCCTTCCACCTGCCCTTCTCTCCAGTCACCCGCCCACAACACAGATGCCTTTCAGTCACTGCATATGATCTGGCCTCACCACTTACATTTCATTATAATCGTCTTTGCCACACTAACCGAACCCAAATTCAGTCATTTTAACCTTGAGACGTGAACGTCTTCACGGCTACCAGATCTCCAGTAAGTTCTCACTCCTTTTCCTGACAAGCTCAAATTTGGAGACTTCGTCTCAATCATTTTGCAATATTCATCTACTTTCTCGCCTCATCTCCTTCCTTTCAACGCTTTGATATATCAGCTCCCACTTTGATTCACCTCAATGACGTTAAACCCCCCTCCCCCCCGGGCCCCTTCCTTCCTCAGAACATCTTTGAAACAAGAGTTTCTCATCCATCATACGTTCACTTGCAGACCACATCTGCTGGGTATGAGATCTAACTTGCTGTTCTCCTTCTCCACCATCTTCCATTTGACATCCGTCCAACTTACCCACGACCTTCACTGTCTAATCTCGCGGTTCCTTCCAACGCACTTACCTACTTTGGACCGGATTTCCTTCCTTTTCCACAACGCCATCTTACTTATAGTTGCTCCTCAGTCTTATCGTCCATTACATGTGAAGTTAGGCGCTGACGTTTCAATTTAGACGTACAGATCAGACATCCATTCATCCACAATGTCATACTCCAACCAACATCTCCAGGTCCCGTCCTTTGACGGACCGTCGGACACCCGAACTCAAGGATCTCCGGGCCGCATGTCATCTCACCATGGTGGCTCTCAGCATGGTGGCTCGCCCGCCCGATCTCAGGGCGGTGGCTCCCAGGTGTCTCCTGCCAGAGGTTCTCGTTCTCGTGCGGAGTCTGGCGCTTCTGCTGGTCGTCCACGTAGCGAGTCGGGCGCTCAACGAGCAGCTTCACCTAACCCATCTCCCTTCCCCCCTGGCACCGGCCGTGATCCTGCTCGCGATCCTGGCGGTCGTCCACAAGGGTTGAACACTCGCATTGATCTGCCTCCTGAGGCTTTTGTGCAGGTAGGTTTCTGTTCTTCTAGAATCACCAGTGCACGGCTGACATCCCAACTTAGAATCCTCGCGAGACTCCCTTCGCGCGCCGCCCGAAGTTCTGCGACGTGGGCCGCCAGGTCACAATCAACGTGAACCAATTCCGTGTGACGGCGCTTCCAACATCTGATATCTATCAGTACGATGTCACCGTCAGCCCATATATGGACAAGCCTGCATTTGTTCGAAAGCTCTGGAAGTCAAAGGCCGTTCAGGAGCGTCTCCAAAAGTCCAACTGCAGGTGGTTATTCGACGGCGAGAAGCTGGCTTGGTCGCGCGCCCAAGCGAAGGACGGCGTACGTATTCTTGTCGACATGGACGAGGAGGATGGAAGACAGCCGAGACCTGGCAGGAACAACCGATTTGAGATCATCCTCAAGTCCACCACTACCATTCGCATGCAGGCTCTGGATTCCTACTTGAAGGGCCAAACGGATTGGCAGAAGCATGTCTTGGAGTGTATGAGCTTTCTCGACCATCTCTTGCGCCAGGGTCCTTCGGACAATATGATTGCGATCAAGCGCAATTTCTACCACCGAGATGCGCAAATCGAGAAGCTCGACAGATACGGCGCAATCGTCGCCCGCAAAGGCATATATGCCTCTATGCGTCTGTCACAGGTCAGTTAGGTTCCAGATGGTTGTCATGTATACTTACTAAGACGGCTCCAGAACATCGCAAACAAGGGTTGCACCGGCCTCGGCATCAATGTTGATATTGCCAACACTGCTTTCTGGGGCTCAGGACTTTTCATCGAGTTCTTTAAAGCTTGGGTCCGTGGACTACCAGACAACAAGTGGACTGGAAGTAAGTGATATAGTCCCTGAGATTGAATTCCTCAGTCTAACCATGTGTTAGGCGATTACCTGGAGCTAGCACGGCTCTTCAAGCCCATGGAGAAGGACCAGTTTGATGAAAACAACAAGTTTATCCGGTCATTTTGGGACATGCCACCGTTGTTTATGCATCTGCGCAAACTGCATCGCATCAGATTCGGTATTCAATATCGCGGCAAGGTCAACGATCCTAAGACGTACACAATCATGCGATTTATGTACAACGAAAGCTTTGGCAAAGAGGGTGCGGATGCGCTCACATACAAATTCGACTATGAGGGCAAGATGACAAGCGTGGATGAGTTCTTCCGCAAGAAGTACAAGTTGTGGCTCAAGTACCCGAAGCTGCCGCTCATCGAGACTTCTCGAAGTGGTGTCTACCCGATTGAGGTCTGTCATCTTTTACCGTTTCAACGGTATAACTTCAAGCTTGATCCCGAGCAGGTTTGTGTCTCCTCATAACGATTTTACACTATGTGCGCTGACTCTTCATGCAGACTTCGAACATGATCAAATTCGCCGTCACCCGCCCACCTGTCCGTGGTAAGGCTATCATGGACAATGTCAATCTCCTGAACTGGGCTCAGGATCCCTACCTCAAGGAGTTCGGTATGACGATCGATCCCAGAATGACTCCTGTACCTGCACGCGTTCTCCAGAATCCCGAAATCCAATTCGGAAATGGAAAACACAATCCGGGAACCAGCGGCCGCTGGGATCTTCGGGGCAAGAAGTTCATGGTCCCAGCTATCCGTCCCATCTCGCGCTGGGCCATTGTTGTGATTGATCGTTGCATCGACCAGAATATGGCGACAAAATTTGCCCGAGCTTTCTGCGAAGCCTACAGGAACCACGGTGGCCGGATTGAGGGTCCACCATATGTCACATCTGTGAGATATCACGGTGCCATGGGTGTCAACCTGTCGAACATGTTCCAGGATATCCAGGACAAGCTCAAGGGTCCGCCAGACTTCGTCATGGTCGTGCTGACGGACAAACTCCAATTCGTCTACGAGCGCTTGAAGAGGAGTTTTGAGGTTCGATGGGCAATCATCACTCAAATGCTTCAAAGAGCCCATGTTATGAAGTGCCAGCCCCAGTATTGCTCCAATGTGGCGATGAAGGTCAATGCCAAGTTCGGCGGATCTACAACAAGAATCCCTAGTGCGGGCACTGGGTCTGCATTCTTCAATGCCCCTACCATGATGATCGGTGTTGATCTTTCTCACGGATCTCCCGGAGTAATGACCCCATCGATAGCAGCGATGACCATTTCGATGGACAAAGATGCCGCGACCTATGCTGGCAGTTGCCAGACCAACGGCTACCGAGTTGAGATCGTTCAGCCCGGCGTTTTCAGGTCAATGTTCACACCAAACCTCCAGAAGTGGTGCGAGAAGATGAAGGTGCCCCCAAAGCATGTCTTCTACCTTCGTGACGGTGTGGCGGAGGGACAGTTCGCCCAAGTCATGGAGTATGAGATTGATGAGCTTCGGAAGTGCTTGCAGAAGGTCACCGGCACCACGCCAAAGATCACGGTCATTGTTGCCACAAAGCGGCATAATATCCGTTTCTTTCCTCAGTCGGGTGCTGACAAGAATGGCAATGCCCTTCCGGGAACACTTGTGGAGAGGGAAGTTACTCACCCTTTCCACTATGATTTCTACATCTGTTCGCATGTCGCCATTCAGGGAACTGCTCGTCCGGTCCACTATCATGTCATTCATGATGAGGTGAAGATGAAGGCGGACGATCTGCAGAAGATGATTTATCATCAGTGCTATCAATATGTACGGTCAACTACCCCCGTATCCCTGCATCCGGCGGTCTACTATGCGCACCTAGTTAGCAGCCGTGCGCATTGTCATGAGGCTACGCCTGCCTCAAAGCAAGACCCGATGATGTCCCGGGCCAAGATTGAGAGTGAAGCTAAGGCTTTGCTGTCTAAATCTGACATGCCCGGATATGAGCCTGACCGCACGACGGACATGAGAGGCCAAGATTCTTTGCCTCTTCTGCGAATCAACTCTGATGGCGAGGCTACTCCAGCCAACACAGAGTGGTTCAAGTCCACTATGTGGTACATCTAGAGCAACCAGATCACTCGCAATCCTCAAGGATAGCCGATTTCTTGGGAGCGTCGCGCATTCGCCAGGTCGCTTCATCATGACAACTTAGCTTAGCTCCATCTTCATCTCGTCAGGGATCAATTCGCCCCTGAAAGACTACCTTTAGCCCATACAAACGACACGCAAATCCGTAGCTATCAATTGAAAACGTGCCAAATTCTTGACTGACTCTTTTCTGTGATATATATCGCTTAGTGAATGGCTAAACGACGATACCTCGGAATAGGTCGACAATGCAGCATGTAAGAGATGTTTGACGTTCCTTGGCCGCTGAGACATTGGGAGGCCTCAAATATCCAACACAAAGAGTTCGTAAAGTACCGTTGAAAGTGGTTTCACGCTTTCCTAAGCTGCGATGTGCGTACGCATCCCACAAGCCTTGTTTGAGCTTCGCTATGATATGTAACACTGGTAGATAGCAAGCACAGCGAATCAGAGGGGCAGCTGTGACTCAAAGAGGCAATCTCTAAAAGCTAGACGGACACAGACTGTGTTTGATTAGGGGCTGTGCCTTGCCATCCATATCGCATAAGGCATCGAAATCTCGTCTAAGGCATCAAATTTTGTTGGGAGAGATCTCATGCCCAATCACAACGAGCACAAACTAGGTTAACACGGAAAAAGCTAGCTAGGCATAAGTTGGATGCCTGTTAGAATTTCCCTTTTCTGATAGACTGTGATAGTTGTGCTTGAGAGTGTCTCATGGTGTGGGTCTATGACGGGCCGTAAAGGGACAACCGTTGACGCGGCGAGGGAGGCTTGTCCAGGGCTCTATCAACAGATGATTCGTCAATCAAACGGTGAACTGGTATGGAAAGCACTCAGTAATAGTATAATAAGGATGGCCAAGAGGTGCTTTCAGCCTCATAGCTTGGTTGAACGTCTCAGCTTCAAATTCCGATGAGCACAGCAAGGGCCTGCCCCTGAATCGGTTCATTCGCATCTGTGCGCTCTGTTGTCTCTTGTTGTTAGCTTCCATTTTCGTTGCAGAGAAGCCTTGCTATTTGCTGTGTTTCGGTGTTCCGGAAGTTCAAACGGAGGCGTGATCATCAAACTTCCTTCTCTACTACTCCTTCCCAAAAGTGCGAAGGAGCTACCTACTACCCTAGCACGAACACAATTTGTCCCCCGTTTTTGTTCACCAGAGCAGTGCAGACTCTCGACAATTACTGGGCAGGGCGGCAGATCACCGTATGATCAAAGGCTGTCAAAGACTATTAGGAGATTGCATCGAGGCAATCAGGGAGTAAATCGAGGTCAGTCACGAGTTACGAAGATACATGTGATCTCCTCAAGGACACCCAACTGACCCCTTTCTGATAGTCGACATCCTCGAAAGCCTCATCGAACACCATGAGTAACGCAGATGCTGCTTTGGCATATGTCGGTGTGATCTTTTACTCGATCTTGATCCCACCCACTCTTTTCATCACCATTCGGCATGGAATCAGGGGTGGTGCTCTCATCGGATGGGGTTATCTCTTCGCATTCTGCTCTCTTCGCGTAGTTGGCAGCGCAGTGCAGCTCTCCGACCCATCGAATACTGCAGCAGCTACCGTGAGCAGCATCGGAATCTCCCCATCTACCTTGGCACTTGGAGGCATTATGTATGAAGCGTGAGTGGGCCATGACAAAGATTGCCCCCAATTCAGTACTTGGAAGCTTATCCGTGTCTCGTTGATGCAGACGATACTACCGATTCCCTGAACGACGTGGTGCTCGCTCCATCATCTGGGCCGTCATATTCCATCTCCTTGTTGCCTCCGCTCTCGGGATCATCGCAACAGGCGCCTCAGGCCTGGCTAGCCACACAGATCCCTCGAAAATCCAGTCGGACTGGACGCTCTGCGGCACGGGCGCCATCATGCTGCTTATACTCATTGTGTGGACTTTCGTCCGCGCCTTTTGGTCATACATCTCGCACGCACCTGTATGCAGCAAACAGCAGGTGGATGCTGAGGGCCTCTGCTTGACGGTTGCACTTGCTAGTCCGTTCTTTGCAATCCGGGTCTTGGCCTCCCTGATCTACTTCTTCTCTCAGAACCCGATATTGGGCCCCGTTGGAGGATCCGTGGGCTTCCGGGTTGGGATGTATCTGATTCCGGAGATTCTTGGGTCAGTGGCCCTTATCGTGGGTGGTTGGAAGGCTCGATATATTGCGAAGGAAAGCTCAGAGGCTGTCGAGCTGAGATGAACAGAACCTTTCAACACCAGAGGGCAGAAGATCGTACGTCGGAACTTCTTCGACGGGAGCCAGTGGTAGCAGTCTATAGATCTCACCATTATCTGCTGGGGTAGAGTCTATATTAGAGTAACCCATACATTTGAGCATGTTGGAATCCTTCGTCTGAGTGAACAATACGCGGTGCCTTTTAGAATGTCTTGTGAATTGGTAGTCAATAGTAGTTAATACTGGTAGTCAACAGTAGTCAACACTGGTAGTCAACAGTAGTCAACACTGGTAGTCAACAGTAGTCAACACTGGTAGTGCATACCTTTGTTAAACCATCAACTTGCTAATGTTGAGATAGAAGAAGTGTGATTATGCAATGCCGATCCATCGGATGTACTCTGTCTCTATCTTCTCCGTAGCGAACCTCAATCACCCCATCTACCTTTCAATCTCAACCACGAGGAAGCTAAGGAAACATTAAGGAGGCCACTTCATCCTGATTAAGAGTGCTGATCACGAAGAAAAAAGATGTAATGAGATCCCACTTGGGCTTGTTCATACACGATGCTGCAGACTGCGAACCCAGACATAGATGCGGCCAGCTCAGGCTATGGCTGTGACCAGAAAGGCGGCCATATCGGGCATTTGGATGCATAAGTGAATTTGTGCACCATGACGTAGGGGCAATCCAGATGGGAAAATAATGGTGTGGTGTATAGTAACGGCAATTGTTGAAGGGCGTATTGCAAAGAAATGTTGAGAACGTTGGAAGTGAGTTGTGAGTTGCAGGGTGGAAAGTGTCTTTGGCGAGGTCGTCAACAAGGACGCCCTAATTAGGCCAAGTCAGTTTGCACTGGCCACCTCTGCCGCAGGTGCGCGAAGCGAGGAGCCAGCGATTGGTTAGCAGCTCTTCAGCACCCCGACCAGCATCGTGAGAGCTGCCAATTATAAAATGGCGCGCGTCTGTTTCGATGCCTTTCAGAAACGACCCACGTCGAAGATTAAACGGACTCCCCAGCCGGGCTTCTGGCGCTTAGAGCTCCATGAGCATCGACCGCGCGCCCAATTTCTGATGCTCTCTCTGCTGCTGCCATCTGCTCGACTGTCCGCGGCAGTCTGCGGCACCTGACAACAAGCCGATTCTGAAGAGCGCGGCCAGCTCCCGGTCTCCTCAGGCCCAGAGCATTGGACCTCGTTGATCGTCGCCGGGTAGGCCCCCGTCCTGGCCTCATTTCACGTCGCCGGTGCATCGTTCTACTGTCATGCTATGGCTGCCTTCCCGACATGGGTCTCTCAAAGAAAGTGCCCGTCTTAGCTAGGCTAAGGCCCGGCCGGCCATCCGTGGCCAGACGCTCGTCCATGTCGCGTCTGAAGTCTTACAAAGATACAAAAACGGAGGTGATCCTCGGGTTCACATCTGTCACAGTCTCTCTTGGCTCTTCTCCCTCATAGTGCTGTCAAGGCCTTGCCTCACAATCGTTTTCCCTCTTGTCGTCCACTTTTTTTACCCATCATTCTTTTCTTTACTCATCATCGCTCAAAGCCATTCTCTTATTGTCAGTTCGAGCTTCGAGAACAGTGTTCATCCCCTTTCCTTTGTCGCCTAGTGAAGGCCATTCGTCTCTCTTTGACTCCACAACATCCCAGATTGCTATTCTTCGATATTGCAATCTCCCCTTTTCAAAAGGCAGGCGAGCCTGTCTTGGGGCTTAATAGATATCCACCACCCCTTGTCGATCAAGGGGTTGTTCCACTCGTGGTTTAACTTCCTCAACATAGTCTCTCTCTATCAACATACACAATTATGCGCGTCACAAACATCATCTTAGATCTGCTTTTATTGGCAACAGTAGAGGCTGGTCCTCTCAGGGTGCGGACACCCACTCGGGAATACTCCCCGGCAAGGAGGGCAAAATGGATCAGACAAAATGGTTTCCAGAACAGTAGCTTTACTAGCACGACCCTGAGCGACTCGTCAACTTCCGCGGTGTTTTCGACTACATCCGAAGAGACACAGTCGACAAGTTCGACTCCGGGAGCCTCAGCGCCCTCAGGAGATATAACATTGACATCTACCTCTTCTTCTCCTACGTCAAGTGATGACGGTATTTCTTCTTCCAGTTCGACCCTCTCATCAAATTCATTCTTGAGCTCCATGACACTGGGGCCATTAATATCAACAACTACCTCAGCCTCGACTACTTCCGAAAGCTCCTCAACATCGACCTCTGTCGAGGACGGCGCTACTGTGATCACATTCGTCCCGCCGCAGTCATCTACCTCATCGACCTCTGCGTCCAGCGGTGACAGCTCGACAGAGATTTCGTCAAGCCAATCAGTGCTGACCACCACAGACTCGGGGCGCACCCTGTCATCGCCACTGGTCTCATCAGCAAGCTCGACAACTGTCTTGGAGCTCACTGTGATACCTTTCTTCCCATCTAGCAGCGCCATATCTGAGCCAGCATCTTCTATCCCTGTCACTACCGAGCTGCCAACATCGACATCCCCATCGACATCGACAACCACATCAATATCAGCGTCGCAGCCAACTACAACGTCGACAAGCTCGCTTTCTAAGAGTTTGTCCTCATCTTCGTCCACTACTCTGTCTTCTTCCACGCCCTTATCGTCTTCATCTCCTCTCCTTACACCCACAGGGTCTCCTGATGCCAGTATTCCTACAGCCATCCGAACTCTTCCGGCTGTCACCGCAACTGTTGGTTCGAGTGTATATGCAAGCAACATAGCAATCGCAAAGACTTACAATGCCGAGTTCGCCCAGCTTACTGAGCAAAGTGCTTGCACTGCTGGGCAGGTGGCCTGTATCAAGGGCAACATTGCCATTTGCTCCGCCCAAGGCGGTGCTGCCTCTGGAAACATGGGCATGTTTGGAATCACTGAGTGCATGGATGGCACAACCTGCGCTGCAATGCCAATGAATACCACCGTTGGCGCTCAGGTTGACTGCTGGGATGACTCTGTGGTCTTGAAAGTTTTGGGAAGTCTGCCTGAGGTGGGAGGAGCCTCGACTGCAGCCGAATCAACTACAACTAGTGCACCCCAGCCGGTCACTACCTCATCTAGTGAATCGGAGGAAGTCGTCACCAAGACTGTCCCATCGGTGGTCGTGACGATAACTGTTGACGGCCAGGAGCAGCCCAGCTCCAGCCCGGCGTCGCCATCTCCGGCTGAGGAGACCACCACCTCCACGACATTCCACACTCGGACCCGGACCCGGACTCGTACGGTTCAGCCCACAACCCCAGAGCCGGCCCCTGTCTCTACACCAGCGCCCGCTGTGCCGAGTGACAACCTTACCACGGATCCTCTGCCTCTGACAGTGGAACCGGTTACAGAATCGCCCAGCGCAGAGCCTACTGGCGCTGGCAGGGGGGACCAGGGTGGTGATAGAAATGGCGCAAATCCATTCTTCGGCGGCAATGGGAATGTTGTGACTAGCGTGGACTCAGCGCAGGCTACGGTGACGGTTTTTGTGACACTCACAGAGCATGATATTACAACAGCCACTGTAACTACTACGGCGACAGTCCGAGGCAATCGTTAATAGAAGAAAGGGAAGGATTAGGTAATATAGTCTTTGTAATGGTGGCTAGATTGGATATGACTTTGGACTATCTATGGGATGCGTATTTGTGATTTGGGGCTGGAGTTGGGTTCGGTATAGGGGAAAAGCTTTATAGACTTCAATAATCACTATTAATTATCTCCCGCCCTCCAGCCATCTGTTTTTGTTTTTTTCAATCATGCATAGCCCTAAAAGGTATATCGGAACCCAGGCTGATAATTCTCCTGGAAGTATTTTGTCAGTATCCGCATCTTGGTTCTGATCATCTAGGGGGTCAAAACTCACATCAGCGCTTTCCAACTCCTTTTCACCCCGGTCGGCCTGTCCATTCAAGACCTTGAAAGAGATGCTAAGCACGCCAACTAGGATGATGTTCAATATCGCACATGCCAGGCAAGCGTACAAGCCAGGCTTGTAGTATGGCGCATCTTGGGACCTAAACACCAAGCTACCGGCGATACCTCCAACTCCTCCAAATCCAACAAGCGTAGCACTACAAAACGCTCGCTTCCATTGTCCACGGATGTTATTTGCCTGGTAGGCCATCGCCGCTGGGACATTCGAGTTTGCGCCGGCTGTGACGAGGAAGACGCCGAAGTACCGTACGCCGGAGTTCTTGTGGAATCCCATGATTGGCAAGCCAATGACACACAACAGCATATTGAACACGACGATCGGGCCACGAAGATGGTACTTGTCACCGATCCAGCCAGTGGCGAACATGACGATGCCAGCAAAAGCATATGGCGGTGCAACGAGGCATTGGCTGGCCCCAACGCTGAAGCCCATGTTGTAAGTGAGGATTAGAGGCAAGAAATAGGCCAGGGCATAAGTGATCGTAGTAGTGTTGAAGAAGACCATGGCATATGCCCAGATCTTGGGATCTTTTCCAGCCTTGAAGAAATTCACCCATGAGAAGGCGTGGACGTGTGCATCTCCTCGGTCCGCGTTGACACGTGCAACAACCCAGGCTCGTTCGTGGTCCCCTAGGAACTTCCACGAGGCTCGCTTGCTGTCTGGAAAGTCCACGAGCAGCCAGTATCCTGCAATGCCTAGAAGGCAAGTGAGGATGCCTTCCATTATAAAGATCCAGCGCCACCCTGTCAGGTCCGCTAGGCCACCCATGTGCATCAGCTATGAAGGTAGTAGCGGTATTAGCTGGTATATCCCAAAAGAGGCGATTATTCAACAAGAATTTCAGACACAACTAAAACAGGAAGATATCATCAAACTTACACCATAGGCTAGGATGCCAGCAAACGCGGATGCAACGCAGCCAAGGAGGTAGAAAGCAGAGTATCGCTTTCCCACCTCATCTACTCAAAACATTAGCCTCACAGATATCAACCAAACGAAAGGCCTTGTTGTTCTTACAGCGAGTATACCATGTACTCAACAAGTACACACAACTGGGGAAGAAACCTGCCTCCAGAACGCCGAGCAAGACACGAAGACCGGCTAGTGCCTGATAGTTCTGCGCAAAGCCCATGCCAATCATAGTAGCACCCCAAAAGAGTGTGATCAGAGCCAGATGGATACGAGGTCCTACTTTGCGTACAATAACCGTCGATGGCGGCTGGAAAACCACATACGTAACGAAGAACACCTGGGGCTATGTTTAGAGACTCATTTTGTATCTTGAGAAAATCGATCGCTTACAAGGGATACGACGGACTGCGACAAAAATGATTAGACTCGGTCGATGACTTGATATCAAGGGTCGGAGAGAGAAACTCACATATCGAACGCCCTCGAGCATCAATTCTTTACTCATTCCTGCTATATTGGCCGCTCCAAGATTGGTTCTGTCCACTATAGCATTTGAAGTCAGTATTTTTCCATATCAAGACGGTGAAATAGGAGGAAAATAGAATGAGAGGAATTAGTCTCGGGAGTGACTGCCCAGATGAAAGCGGTATCTCCGTTTCCAACACTCGAAACATGACCATAGCAGCCAAAAGAAGAATCAAAGACTCTAAAGTTGCTTACTCAACGATACACAGTACATGAAGCCGACCGTGGTAATAAGTCGACGGTCGATGCGCTTGATGATCCTCCGCTCCTCCGAGGGGGTGAAATTGAAATCATGCTCAGTGTACGGGGGTACAGAGGCCGTGGTCTTAACCCGGTCGATGTCCTCCCCGATATGGTCGGCGCGAGCCTTTTCACTTTCGTGATCCATGGCTGGTGGTATGCTTCGAGACAATTGCACTTAGGAGAAATCCAATACAGCTGTCGTTGTGAGGCTGTAGGAACAGAGGGACTAAAGTAATCGAAAAAGGGGTAGAGAGCTCGTGGCACACATCATCGTACACACGCCGGGCAGCAGATCATATACCCATCTCGTCTTAAATACCTCCTCATGAGATAAGAATCTGGTCTCTGGAATCTGGACCCTCCTGGCCGGTCCAATTGCTTTCTCTCCTCATGTCATTGCCCATATTGCACCTCTCGCTTAACTATCACCACCCAATCATCGGGCAAGCGCAATGCCCAGGCACAACCTTGGAAGGGATACCGAGGGTGGCGTAACCCTCCTCCTCCTCGCGCTCTTTCCACGCTGGTCTCCGCGGGCCGACCGCGTACTCGCAATCTGAATATGCACCTGATGTATATTGCATTTTCATCTCTCAGATAGCTGGCTTGGCCCGGCGCGGGGTAAGAACTCTAAGTGCTAGTGTTTGCGGGGAGAAGACCACCACTGTGCAGTAGAATCTCCGCAGCGGCAGTTGACCCACGCAGATCCCCGGCGCTGAGATGCCTGTAACGGTGGGCTGCCCCGGCGCTAGGTGCTGGCTCCCTTGGCGGTCAAGCTCAATCCGGGGAAGTTGAGAAGACTTACAGTGTAGTTCGTTGCAAGATGAGATGTCATGCAACCATCACAGTCAGCAAGATGGATGGGTGGCTGGATTGCATGGTGAAGCCGAGGAAGAAGGGGTTTGCACAGCTTGACATCACTCCCCAATAGCCTCTTCCCTCTAGCAAGCCCAGTCGCAACGAGAGATAGATAATCCAACGCCTCTGAGAGGAGAGCATCGACAGAGTGGTGGCGTTCGAAGAGATGCGATTCGCAGGGACATTCCTTTTTCTCCGCTGCTGTGTGACCATCCCAACTGAGCACGCTGAGGCAGCCATCTGAGGCATGTCATGTCATGTTCGTGTCTGGCTTCGGGTCCTTCCCTTTTCTTGGCTGCCTTAGTGCTTCTCTCTCGCTCGAATCCTTGACGCAATCGCCTCACCTGGCGTCGCTGGCTTCGGAGCTGGTGAAACCCCGTGCTAGCTTGTTCGCTCCCTCGATCGAAGCTGAACCGAGGCTCAAATTTAGTCCATGGAGAAACCGCCCTTGGCATCGATAGTCGGTGGGCAATACGTGAGGGGTCAACTGCTCCGAACATTGCCCTTGAGGTAGCCATTGCGGTGTAGGAGGCTTGACTTGTCCCGTCTCCGTCAGGGATTCTTCTGTCGCTGTTCATACATGCACTACTCCCCAACAATGTACACATGTTCATTACCAGCGTTGACTACCAATGTTGACTACCAATGTTGACTACCAATGTTGACTACCAGTGTTGACTATTAGTTGATTATTATTATTAATTACCAGTTTTTTACTATTAGTTGATTACCAGTATTGACTATCAGTTGATTACCAGTGTTGACTACCAGTTGATTACCAGTGTTGACTACCAGTTGGTTACCAGTGTTGATTACCAGTGTTGACTACCAGTGTTGACTACCAGTTAATTACCAGCGTTGACTACCAGTTGACTACCAGTGTTGCCTACCATTGATTACCAATGTCGACTATGTGGCTTCACTAAAAACATGAGGATGTCCATGATGTTCTGTCCATTATGTGCTATATAATGTTCTATGGCGATGCATGTCCTGTTGGTACTCTGGAACTCCACCCTGATTGCATCATGGCCAACCGATCCGTTCACTATGCAGGAAATCTATAATACCAAGTGACTGATCCCACGATGGGTACTGTGAAACATGTGTATTCTCCTTGATGCATCATCTCAATATGAATCTTCTGTGACTTCTATTAAGCACATCTCTCAATTCATATCTCTCTTTGACATCGTTTATCGTGTCTCAGAAATAGTCATTGTCGTCATCGTCATCGTCATCGTCGCTGTAGTAGGAGGGCAGCCGTACTATAGTTGGCCCTCTACGATCTGCGGGACCGAGAACATCGTCCTCGTCGCTCGACTCCACTGGAAGGGGCTCATCCAGACAGGCCTTCTTCGCCGACAGCGATCCTCTTGCTAACATCTCGGAGAAGGGCCGTTTACGCACCGAGCCGCCAGATCTCACCGCCCCGTCATTGCTGGGAATGCTTGTCGCCATTGACGACCTATGACAGGCGAAGGACTCAAGCGAGGTTCGCTCTGGAGTCTTCGAGGCCGAGATTGCTCCTTCCGGCATTTGGATTGAGTCATCGAAGTCTAAATCTGGCTGAAAGTCCATGAATGTTGTTTCATTGTCGGCAGCTAACTCATCGACGCTCAGGGCTGCCATGCGACCGACTCCCTCGTTCAGGGTCAGATCAGCCTCAGCACCGTCCTCGCCCTCGACTTCTGTCGTATATGTTTCTCCATCATCCTCATACAGGCTTCCCAGCCAGGCCTCACGGAAGGCCAGACCCAGAGCAAGAGCCATCTGCCGGGCGACACTATTACCCACCATCTTCCATTGCTCACCGAGAGTGCCTAGTAATACTTCATCGTCAGGGATTCCCTGTGCACGTCTTGCCTCCATGATTGTCAGAGGCCGAGGCTGGTCCCAGTGCATCAGGTGGCCTCCAATGCGGGCGTCGGTGTAAGAGCAGGCCGTGGTGATTGTGGGAAAAAGCATGTTAGGCGTGTGTCTGCCCCATGACTTGGCCAGCTTCGAGACACGGAGGCCATGGCCCGGGAAGGCGACTCGCTCCGCCTGCGTCATCACTCCGCGTCCTTCCTTCCACGTCTTGTTGAAGTCCATGCCGTACGGACGGGTAGGAATGTTCAGGATCTGCACACGGCCGTTCTTGCTGGTGGCATGGCCCCTCGTAGAAGCCCGCGTATTACCAGTGCTCATCGCCATAGCCAGCCGGTGATCCGGGAAGGGGACGCAAGTGTTTACCTTTGCGTCCCCGATATCTGGAAGGTCCGATGAAGCCTCAGCAGCGCTGACGAACTTGAAAGCAGTCGGGATTCTCTCTCGTTGCACATAAGGCTCACCGTTGGTCATCCTGCCCAGACCGTGAAGTATCATCTTAGGTGGGTGAGAGTGTGACAGCTGAGGAGCGTCTGGAAGACGTAGCCCAGGCGCCGCAAAGTAGAGAAACGCTCGGGGGCGACTCTGTGGTGCACCATGAGTCCATGCATCACCCAGGATGATCTGCGTCTGGTAGCCCATGCCGACAATAGCACAGATGAGCTGAGAGAAGAAGTCTTCCGTAGGTCCCATTTCGGGCTTTCTTTTCTGAACGATGGTCGTTACGTTTTCGAGTACGCCGTACTTTGGCCGGTAGAAGTCGATGAACGAGGCAAAGGATGCAATCAGTGAGCGGTTTTTGTGCTGCTTTGCCGTGGTCTTGTCCGATGTCAGGATAGAGAAGCCTGGGCAAGGACTGCCACCTGACACAAAGTCGACCTCGCCTGGCTGAGGGACATTCTCGGAGTAATATCCCAGAAGACCTCGGTGCAGCAAATCATCCACGGAGCCCAGGAACGGCCTAACGCCGGTCTGCGAGGAAGCATTTGCCATATAAGTATGGATAGCTACATTCCAAATGTCGTTCGTCCAGTTCACTTTGAGGGTGCCGCTGTCTTCTAGACCGCGGCCAAAATTGCCACAACCGCAGTAGAGATCTAAACCTTGCAGCTGCTTGACCTTCTGCTTCGGATCGAACCCTTGTCTCAGGGTCGGTGTGTCTGTCAGCGGCGCGTATACAGCAACACCGTCATTGATTTCCCGTCGATGGGTGATATAGAAGAAATTTCCAGTTCCGTTTCGATCATAGGGTGTGGGGATGCGATCCTCGGGGTTGAATACTCTCACCCAACAGCGTCCAGCAATTTTCACTGTCCTGACAAAAGCAAACTCATCCGTGTAGACAAGTTCATTGGGAGGACACGCCTGGCTTTGCGGGTCCACAGATCGACGTCGGAGGAGCTTTCGAAGGCGAACAAATCCTATGCTGTTGGTCTTTCCGTTGAGCTCGGTGATCTCGCATGGCTCAAGAGTATCTGGGTTCCGAGGATCGGTAGCAACGAGTACAGTGTCGCCTAACCTATATACAGGGAGGACATTGTCTTGTTTATGATTGCATTTTATGTCTGTCTTCTTTAGAGTGACGAACCGACGCTTCTCAACTTCATACAGGCGCCTGATGAAGAACTCCGCTTTCGTGTCGGGTGTTCCAAGCCATTCCACAGAGTGAGTCTCGAGAACCTCATTATCGTGAACTCTGGCATCTCTGCCTTCCTGACAGGTGCAGTGGTCGCTCAAGAAGAGCTCATTCGTCCAGGGGTATTTCATCGAGCAACAAGGCGTGTCAACGGGCCTATACAGCCAAGTGACATCGAAAGATCGAGAGTCATCTTTATAGACATGCACCTTTTGAACAATGCCGAACCACCGAGTATCCGGGCCCTCAACGCTTTTCCACTTGGTTCCAGTGTGTGCTCCATCTGGAGGAGTTGAAATCGTGTCGCCGACATTGATACCTGCAATCATGTCGGTTCGAGGCTGGCCCTTTCTAACTTGTCTCGTAAAAGACCAGTCTTCCGTTGCCTCAGGCCATGATAATTGAATTGCTTTAGTAGAACTGATCTTGGGATCAACCCGCTTCAGGTACGGCGCGACCTGCATATCAGAGAAGCAGTCGTAAATGTAAGGAGTGACGATTGTCGGCAAAACGGAGCCCGATTCATCGTTCAGGGTACGATTCTCGTCAGAGCCGGAGCGCACTCCGCCAGTTGGCTTCCAATGCGAGCAGTCCATCTCGCGAAAGATCTGAAGTCGGCGTTCCTTATCACCAAGCACCCCACAAGTTTCTTTGTAGAGGAAGTTCCTGTTGGCCACAACAGCGGAACGGAAATCATTACTTCCACGTTGCCTGTGCCATGCTTGGAATGCTGGTGATTGCTTGTGGCGCCCGAAAAGCCACGTCGTGAAATCCGTCTTGAAGTTATGAATCGAGACTTTGCGACCCTTCCCCAGCATGTATTCACAGTAGTCGACAAAGTGTTTCGCAAAATCAGCAACCCAGAGAAAGGGTTCATGGAATCTTCGGTACTCTACTGCAGGTGATCTAAGCCGGTAGCATATCTTGTCCGTCTGGTTATACTTGGAGCGTATCCATAGCTGGTCTGCGACTGAATGATTCACAGCGCCGTAGTTCCCCAAGGGGACTTCATCAAAGGGTACCTTCTGGACCCAGTATCGGCTATCTCCAAGGCTGAGGATGCCGTCAAAGAATAGCAGCGCTTGACCTGTCTTTGTTGCATGATGGTGTAGGGATCGCAATTCTAAAGGGTGCCCGGGGACGTCGACGTAGATGCAGAAACTGTCCAGTTCTAACTCAATGAAGTCCTCATTCAATTGAGATTGGTCGAGTTCCAGTAATGCAGTGACCGCATGTCTTTCCTGTGTGATCGGAAGAGGTGGAACAAAGCCGTCGAACGACGACCGAGGGTTGACCAATGTTGACACTGGTAAGTTGACAGTGAATTTGCAAAAGTTGCTCGTACCGGATTCGGAGCTGGAGTCTGAGCCCGCAGTAGTATATAGTCGAGATCCTAACGATGCAATCTCTGAGTTGGAATTACCGTAAACATTCTGCTCGTCCGCGATTGCTTCCGCCACAGCCTCTTTGACCCCTAGGTCTGACTGCGCTGGCAGTGATCCGATTGTGACAGGGAATGTATCGTCTATATCCGAGTCATCTATGGCCGTCAGATCTATCAGATCAGCGTCAGATTCAAGAAACATCGAGGGATATGCCATCGCTAGAGCGGAGCTGGGTAGCTGACGGTGCGGCGACCCATATGATCCGCAAAGTATCCGGTAGCCCTCTGTGACTTGGACTTGATAATCGGAAGATCGCCACCAGTTAGTAGGATTTATTTATCCTGAGAAAGAAAGAAAACCAGTTGGTTCCGATGAGCACCAAATCTTAGCAACTGGTCTGTTGAAGCCGCGGGATAATGGATGAGGTGTGATCGGTCTCTTGCCGTTTCCATGAAAGATACAATAGAACAAAGCAGAGCTACTCTTATTATTGGAAACAAAGCTTTTGGTTTGGTGATCTGTTCATACTGCAGCAAGCTCTGTGCCCGAACCGTGAAACCTTGCGATGATGTCTGCACGGCTGGACACTAAGTCTGAAAAGGCGAATTTTCGACAGTGTCGAAAAGCACGACAACAACATAACGGGGCTTACTCGAAAGGATGATTTAGCACAAATTGATTGTCTGCAATGAGGGTTTAGTCAGACCGAGTACAAAAATTGCCTCTGTCGTTCTCAAGAAGGCATTGTTAGTGGACAGAGTCTTCAGTAACCATGGACGCGCGACGCGCGCTGCAGGAGTTCCGAGGTCGAGTTTGGCGCAGCAGGGATGCTCCCATTGACCAATCGTTGTGTAGATCTTGGGCTCTGCGCATTGGATCCATTCGAGGCTGACAAACACCTCCAATCTTCGAATTACAAAACAAATCATAGTTTTTTCAATTCTCGGCTTCGCTTCTGATTTTTCTATGTGAAGATGGCGACTCCATGAGGGAGAAACAGTTTGGTGTGAAATGTTCCCTTTTTTAAAACTACTTAGAGCACAATAACAAAATACAACAGGTAGTCGAGGTGAAGTTCGATGTCATGTACATATCTATGTTTACTTTATAAGCGTAAAAAACTCCTGAAATGCTCTCTTTATCCAAGTCCGCCAAACGCCGATGCTAATGCTGATGTTGCCAAAAATGCGGTGTTGCTCAACGCATTTTCTATTTATTCTTTCTCCTCCTTTGCCTGCTACTCCTTCTGCTCCCGAACTTTTGCTTTTTGGCGAGTGTCTCATCATCGACATCCTCCTCCTCCTCCTCCTCTTCGAATTCGTCCAAGTCCTGGTCTTTCCTGTTCTCAATGTCCTCGTCCTCAATTCCTTCCTCTGCTCCCGTGTCGACGAGATTATCGTCGTTGGGTTTGTTGACTTCAGCACCTCGTACTAAGTCTGTCGCACTGGTCCCCGCCTGCTTCAGGTACGGATCGTCAAACAAGGAAGGGAGGCCTTCTTCAGAAAAAGCAAAGGCGTTGTACTCCTCGACTTCCTCATCACTCGGCCAATGCCAGGTGCATCCTTTCTGTTCATTGAGTTCGCGTAACTGAGATTCAAAGCGGCTCATCACTTCCGGCTCGATATATTTGTCCCCATAGGCGCGGAAGAATGCGAAGACGCGAGCCATCAGACTGTATTGTCCTCTGAAATCTGGGCTTTTCGCATCCTCAAGAACAGAGTCGAGCTCCCAGGCTTGGAGCACCCAATCCATGACTCGAATAACTTCATCCACATCCCTGAACATAGCTGCAGTTCGGAGGTAAACATGGATATGTTGCGGACGGATGGTATGAAGTAGAGCGGGAGCGTCAACCTCTGTAGCATTGACCACAAGCGGCTGTGCTGGAGTCCTCAGCTTTTCAAACATGTCTTTCAGCTTGCTGTAAGCAAGCGTAATAACCTCGTTGAACCGTTGTGCCTCACGATCGCGTTTGGCAAGTAGGGTTGGCGGTACATCAGTGTTCATGGCATCCGAGACACCTGACAGTGTACTTTGGTTTCTCCATCTGAAAGCCTTCCTCACCATACGATTGAGAAGGAAGAAGACTTTGGTGTCTGTCTCCATCGCCTGTCGTCGTCGGTCTATCAGTCCCAGAAAGAACGTTAGTGAGTCGGTGTCTGTGCTCTGTAAAGATTTGTCGGGGTGGAAAGTTTTATTTCGAACAGCTAGTGTCTCCATGACATGGTACCAGGGCGCCTTATATGTGCTCTCTGACAACAGAACGCTTGATGGGAAGCGGCTTTCTAAGAGCAAGATGGCACGCTGAAAGTTCTTAAACCGTTTTAGAAATGACGCGCGATGCCGTCGAGGACGACGGCGCTCCAAGTAATTGGGTTGAATACGACAGAGAAGACGAATGTAAGCGGTGAATACGGGCAGCGGTATCTCTGAGAGCAAGACGAGCTCGGGTTCGGGAGAGTTCGTTAGGCTTCTGATGGCATCCTTATTTAGACCACTGTCGACAAGATAATGCCAAGCCGCTTCCAAGTTCGGAGCATGTCGAACAAGCACGACCAGGCATTTCCCCTGAGGTCGATTGCCGTCGTTCAACATTCTATGATACAACTCCTCTACGCCCGGTGGGGCCACTCTAGCTTTTTCGACATCGGTAAGATTTGCGTCGTACACAGGAAAATGTTCTCTACCGTCGCCAGGTAAATTTCCCGGAAAAGCTTCTAGTGCATATAACTTTTGAAATAGTTCGGCATACACCTGAGTGTTGGGCTTAATATCTTCGGCCGGTTTCTGATTAAACATTTGCCAAGCCTCATTCGAGTTACGGGTGGCCCGTACCCGCGCAGCCCACTCGGTATACATATTCAAAGCGGCATAACACCCTTTCCAGATAGGAGGGGGTAATGAACGGGTTTGAATGCTTGAATATTCACCAAGGACGGCGCCGCCAACCACGCCAAGAGAGCGATCGATATTGTTCTCTGGGTTACCAGCTTCTCTACTGAGTACACCGGACTTCACACTCATGCTGAGATTTTCTTGAGGTTGTCTCTGCTCATCAATACCGTCCCAGCTTTTCCTATACGGAGGCCAAGAGCTTGTTAAGCGCGTGGCAACTCTTTGTTCCGGATCAGACTTCGGAAGGCCAATCAGCACCATTCGAATGGCTCTGTAGCTGTCTTTCTCGATGATAAGTGGTTTCTCCAAGCCCAGAGACATACTCAGAAGCAACTTCTGAGCCTTCCAATTATCACGCCTATGCATCAGAGGGCTCGAGCGCGCTGGCCTCTCGAAGAGCTTTAGTGCATAGTTGAAGACCATGCACCTCTGTGCATATCCGCCTGTGAGATCCGGCTCAGAGCTTGTAGGAATTGTCTTAATATAAGCCGCCGTGAGCTGCGCCACATTGACGATACCTGAAGGCCAGATACGCGCACAATGAAAAACCAGGCGTTGAAGTAGATTGATCACATCGTTTGGAACCATGTTCTGCCTGCCATCGAGTGTCCGTCGTACTGCACCCCAGGGCAACGGAGGGCCATCCTGAATCGGGGTTCGGCAGTAATGTCGGGAGACATAATTCATCAGCTCAAGTAATGAGGCGGGATTGATGATGTCTTCGTCACTCGCTAGAATGTGATGCAGTATAAAGATGGGTTTGTGTGCTTCGTTGGCAACAAAACGCTGGATCTTGGAGTCAGAATCCTTGGCCTCAAGAATCCAGTTCCAATGTTCCAAGTCCCATTCATTAATGCCTTTGAAAGCCAGATAATTCAGACGGATCTTCCAATCCCTCTCGTCGACTAGGTAATCGGACAACCTAGTTCGTCTCTTGGCTTCATCGTGCCGGATCATCCATTGCACGAATAGAATTGGAAGGCGAAAGCTTTTGCTGACAGCAGTCGCTCGTAGGATCCTCCAAATGTCTGGAGACAGACGTCTGCCCCTGTTCTTAACGAAGGTAGCTATCGCAATACTTGGGATAAGGTGCTGGCGGCGGAGACGTGTAGAATTGTCGAAAGGTCTTGAGTCCAGGTCGTCGTCATTATTTTGAGTCAATTGCTCCTCTGCTGCTGTCGCGAATCGTCTGTATCGCTCGAAATATGGGTATGCAGGCACCTTCTGAACATCAAGTCATTACCTCCATCTGCCGACTTAGGATTTGCTTGCTTACCCTAGACAGTGTTGGTATACCCTTCGCCCAGCTTCTTTTGAATAGGCCCCTCAAGGGGGCAGCTCTTAAAATGATGGCTGGGAACGACATCCAGTCATCTTGAACTTCTGTCGCTTTTTGACTCCTGTTCCCTCATTGCATTGGGGCGCATTGGCGATCTGCAATTGAGCAATGCGAATAGTATTCGCGTTGATAACTAGAGAAAAAAACAGCGTCACGTGCCTTATCGGGCATTATCTAATCCGACCTTGAAATCCAGCCCTCACGACAGGAATGATGATGATGTCTGTCTGCTCCCTAACGCCACAAACTTGGCTCGAATAAGTGTGGCAGTCATGTTCTGGGCTGCTACGACTATTTTCTTCAATTGATGTCCTAGAGGATGGCTCCCCTGAAGCGCAAACGCCCGCATGATGCAGCTCCCGAACCTGCGCCTGAGCCGATCGTCACGCGTCGTGCGACGCGTCAAACATCGATTCCTCCGCTGCCAATCCAAGCCGATCCAGAACCCAGACACCATCGACGACGCGCCGATACTGTGAACAAGTTCAACTTGGAGCATCGTGGAGACTCGGGAGTCCCGAGCGCTGGCTCATCGCGTGTCCTGCAGGAAAGGCGGGCCACCCAGAAATCCGCAAAGCCCATAGAACCAGCGGACCCACCGAAGACGACCAGATCGACTCGTCAAAGAGGTGGTAGTACGAATGGCGTCGTTGCCCCTAGCGCACCCAGAAGCGAGAATGTTAAGCCTGTAGCAACTGCATCCTCTCAGCCTACGGCAGCTGCTCCATCGGCTTCGAGGCGACGACAAACCATAGCACCTCTGCCACCGATTGCACCGATGGCCCAGGGACTGGCGTCGCAGCCGGCGGTGTCCAAGCCACTCCCAAAGCCATTTCCGCCGACATCCACCGTGCCATCGCAAGTGCCACTGCCCCAACAACCAGCGAGACAACCTCAAGAAAAACCTAAAGAGACTGCTCAGTCTGACCGCAATATCGATAAGGTCGTCCTAGGGGAAATATGTTTCAAGGCCTGGTACCCGTCATACTACGGCAAAGAAGTGCTTGGGGACATATCGGGGAACAGTGCCAAAGGCAGTAACAGCAATGGAACCAAGGCAGGCAGCAAAGAAGAAGCCGGTGGCAAGGCGAACCATCGGAGGGACCGCGATCACCAGCCTATGCTGGACCGCTTGTACGTCTGCCCATGCTGTTTCAAGTATTCCAAAGAGATCGTACCTTGGTGGGAACACGTGCGCGTATGCGAGACGCGCGAGTATGTCCCAGGCAATCGTGTCTATGTCCATCCCAAGGGGAGGAGAATTGTACGAGTGCTCGATACCTCCACGCCAAAATCTACCAGGAAGAAGGGTCGCGACTCAGGCCTCAAGGCTGTAGAGGAAGTTGTCGAGGATCGGGGGGAATGGAGCATCTGGGAGGTAGATGGCGAGAAAGAAGGCGTACGTTTTTGCCTGTATTTGCTAACACTTCCCTTACTGACGGAGCACAGCTTTTTTGCCAAAATCTGTCGCTTTTTGCCAAGCTTTTTCTCGACAACAAGTCCGTATTCTTTGATGTCACTGGCTTCAATTACTTTTTGTTGGTGTACACCCTCCCACCACCTCAGCCTTCTTCGACAATAAGCAGTACAGGGCGACTCGGTCCTAGACATCAAATTGTTGGATTCTTCTCGAAGGAGAAGATGTCCTGGGATAACAATAATCTGGCATGTATTCTGGTCTTCCCGCCTTGGCAGAAGAGAGGACTTGGTGCTTTACTCATGGGAATATCCTACGAGATCTCTCGGCGGGAAGGCATTCTTGGAGGACCAGAGAAGCCAATCTCTGACCTGGGGAAGAAGGGCTACAAGCGGTTCTGGGCAGGAGAAATCGCGAGGTGGATCCTTAGCCTAGACGTGAAGGCTGCAGATGGCGAGTTGATCATCGACATTGATGACTGCAGCAAGGCGACATGGATTGTGCCAGAGGACTGCTTGGTAGTTTTACGAGAAATGGGCGTGGTCGAAGATGCCGGCGTCGGCCCTGGAAAACGTGAACTACCAAAGGAAGGCGAAGAGGAACCCCCGAGGAAAGAGGTTCAGAGAGTGAGGATCTCGAAATTGGCCGTGCGGAATTGGGTACAGGCCAATCGAATCAGTCTGGAGAGAACATGCGATCCTAGTGGGTTTGCCGAAGGATATGCTATCAAGAAAGAAGCTGTTGAGGATGAAGAGCCATGATATTGTCGATACCCCATTTTAGAACCGTTCAAATGATATAAATCCAAATAATGTAAACAAATCCCATTGCAAGCATACCTCTAGCTTTAGCTAATAACGTATGTTATCCTCGCGCACGGGTTCTTTATGCCTCTCTCAAATCATGTCCTACAACACCTCATCCCTCGTCTGTTTCTTCCTCCTCTTTCTTCCTCCCGGATCATTGGTCACTTAAATAGCCAAAGGCTCGTAGAGCGAGAAGCGGTGGAGCGGCGTGGTTCGTCGCTTATGGAGTGCGCAGGGTTGGAGGCTCTGCATTGAGGGTAGACTCGAAAGAATACTCTTATGCTTTACTCGGGTTGAACCTAGACCAGTAAATGAAGAAAAGTGGTCTCAATTGCTAGATGGAGTTGAGAGTTTGTCAAATGGCGGTTGACGGGACGGCACGTTGCGAAAAGCGATTCGGTTGCCAACAACATCTGGCTCAGGGTCAACTGTTAATCGTTCAATACAGCTCTCTTCACCACGACCACGACAATTGATTATTCCTCAGCATGCTTCGAATCAAGGCATAATCCTTGCGAAAAAGCCCTGTGGTGTAATTGGCAGCTTTAGAGGAGCGCAAGTGTTCAGGAGCAAGTCAGTGGGTATGTTAGATACTCGTTTACTCCTCCGCCAGGGTAATAAATGTTAGTTAGGCAAGGGTATCACTACCTCTTCAACGAGGCATTACTACCTTTGTAGAGGTTAATAGACCTATAGTAATAAACAGAATATTCGAGAGCTTGGTGAGTAACACGAGTCTCAGCATTGAGTATATTTGCCCTTTGAGAATTAACGTTTATTACCTTGTTGGAGGAGTACATTGATGATTTGGGGCCACTCATGCGTGCAGCTTATTTGGGAATTGTGCACGCACACTCATAGAGCCGAACATCCGGGAGATACGATAGCAGCGATGGATGGCCAGATCCTGCTATGCACAAGCATTGACCTGGTAATATGGCAAACTGCCCAGTCAAGCTATCGTTGTACACCATCCTCGGTCATGATTTCTTATTAGAAATAGCTCAGAAAGCTGTCATTAAATAGGCATCCAATGTTGCAAAAAGTGATAAATGGAAGGCCCAACAGTTCTGGTTCCTTTGTGAGGGAGAACAACATCCGATTCCGCCCCAGAGGATACATATGTGGAATTGTTCCTGAACAATAACCTGGAACTAAGGGTTCATAGCGAGGATCCTGCCTGCATCAAAGCACAACGTATTTCTTGTTTTGAGAGGTGACTGCGGGGATTACCAATGCCACCCCTGAGCCTGCAGTATATGCAGCCAGCATTCGATGGACCACTGTCAGAGCATGCGAACACGAGATCAGTCATTCTTAGCCTTTCTGATAGCCTAGAAACAGACGGAGAGACCCAAAGAACACCAAGAGGAGGTTGGGCAAGAGGCAGGAGATCTTGGGAAGGTGAACTTCTTGATGCGGTGGCGTTCAGGGCTTAGGCCTCGACCAGGTGGTGAGGAGGGCATTGTAACACAAAGCACATCAACACACCCCTTGCAACCAGCACCTTCCCTCTGCATCGTTCCCGTCTCTGCCGAACTCGACCTGCGTCAATCTCTTTCCAGGCACCTCAGACGCGGGGTAATCCGGGGGTGCTATTCGCCAGTCTGGGGATGTCAGAGTTGGGGAAAGGGCGCCACGTGACTGCTGCGTGAGGAGAAAGCCTTGTGTTGAGACGAGCCAATTTCAACGTCAATTGATTCCTCCTCTTCTTTCTTCCCATCGATTCTTTCGTTTGTCCTTGTTCTACGTTTCTGGAGCCAGTCTAGACGGTGAAATCGCGTGGCGTAGTTGCCCATGATGCGTCTTTCCCTCTCATGACAACCCTGGCGAAGCGAAATCACGCTGTGACCACCCGCTGGCCCTTTCTTCGCCTTCTCCCTGTCATTCTGCTCTATGGATGCTCCATTGGGTCTGCTATTGTCGTCAGTTGTGTTTCTGATTTGTAACGACCACTTACACGTGTTTTGTTTTACATCCTTACTAGCACTTCTGGCACTTCTCCTCAGCCGTGCTTGGTCTCACAGCCTTCGGGTCTCACCAAAAGCACATCTTGGGTTGGAGGTTCGGTTCAACGCAGAGTTTCTGCAGAGATTGAACCAACATCAACCCAAAGATAATGAAAGAACGTTGGCTAGCATGGCTAGTAGCCTGCGATCTTCGGCGTAGTTGCCACGCGAATAGCCTCAGTGTGGGGCCCCGGATTGCGGATCTCAGTAGCGCAAAAGGGCTCAAGCGAGCCATATCTGGGGAAACGGCGATGAGGCCAGTCACGGGATAAGACACACATACCCGAGTGTGTGGAGATCTGGCTTTCCACTAATTCACTCAAGTGTCCCGGAGAAAAGACGGTCAAAGTGGGCAGTTGATGTCAAAAGTTGACAAAGTGAAAATGGTTGGTTTTGTATGTGGTCTTGATCGGGAAGGATGGCATTTCGCTATTTTTACAATATCCCGAGAACTTTGATGCAAAGTCCCCCCATTCTATATCTATGAAGATGGCTCCCCTGGGTCTCTATACTGAACCACGCAACCAATCTATGCAATTTATGCTCCGGCCCCCTAGGTCTAGATGGATGCTGTCAAGTGGCAAGCACAGAATCCTGTCTCGTACACGCTCTCTCCCCCATTCATGATCCTTCAGATACCGGCCGGACCAGCCCAATCTGCAGCTAAGCAGAGCGGGTCGTTTAAGTCTGCGGGGAATGATTAGCAAATGCTTTGCTGGATCTAAGGGAGCTATATTGGAGGCTTGACGTACGAACTTGGCCATGAGGGCAACCATGAGGTCGAAAAGACCGATGGCCTCGACGAAGGCGAAACCCAGAATGGCGTAGGAGAACAGCTGGCCACGGAGGGCAGGGTTGCGGGCAACGCCGTTCAGCAGAGCAGCGAAGACGAGACCGATACCGATACCAGCACCGGTCAGGCCGATGGCGGCGGAACCCATACCCAGGTTCTTGGAGACCTCAACCATGGCCTGAGCAATCTCGGAGCTGTAGGGGCGGGCCTGAACCTTGGCGAAAGCCTGGCGGGTGTTGGCGTTCAGGATGCTCTGGCGCTTGACGGTCTGGAGAGGGTTGGCCCTGCTCATGCCTACGTCGGGACATCAGTGAAAATTCTTCACTGAGGCAATTACGAGCCCAATTGACACCAATCCATCTCGGGTCGACTCAATTGATGGTCATTGAGGTCCATCAAGGTCCATTTCGATGCTGGCGAGTCGATTGAGGATGATTGGAGCTTGGGGGTAGCTTACCGGTGATGGTGCGCTTGGAGCTGTTAGCCAGCTGGACGCGGAGGGCGGGACGAGCGACCTTGGAGGTCGTCGAGGCCATGGTGGTGGCCAGTCTGGAGGCGAGCACACGGGTGGAGGCCATTGTGAATGATGGAGGAGGGTAGGGAATGATGGAAAGGGAGCCTAGGTGATAGCGGAGGATAAGAGAAGATTTCTCAAAGAATGGAGGTCTGACGGGCTGATGAGGAAAAGGGAAAAAAGAAGGAGGAGGAAGTGCGAGACAGATGGGAAGAATCAGGTGTTCGGCTGGATGGGGACAACGGAGACTCCTGACTGGGTGATCGCTCAATGAGGGATATCACAGACCAATGAAGCCGGCGCATCCACAGACATCATTGATTCTGTGGAGCCTACGGTCCCAGCTTCAAGCAAAACGTTGACGAGACGGTGCTTGGGCGAGTTGGGATAGCGCACAAAACAGCAACCTTGACCTGTACGAGTCGGGCGATGTCGGAATCCGCTAATGGGAACATCCCTTGCAAAACACATCGAAAACTGGGTTTCAGGGCGACAGCTTCTTACCCAAAGACGCGATTCATGTTACCTGCAGCACCGGTGCTCAGGTGGCTTTTGACAACGAAACGGAACCAAATACTTAATGCTGCAGTAACCCTTCACCACTGCAGGTTTCTATCTTCTATCGAGCTTCCAACAAAGAGTCCCCGGAAACCATAAGCGCGGGCTGCAGAGTTTTCCCAGAAATGCTGTCTGAGGCTCCAACAGGCATAAAAAGCCACACAGCCAATCTGAAGAAGACACCCCCACGGACCCCACTTAGCGGCGAAAAAAGGAACCAGCAGCCTCAGTTCGTTGTATTTTGGTGTCGTGCAGGCCATCTAACAGAATACGGAAGTCCTCCGTACAGCCGGTACAATGCAACACGAAGGTGTGCTATAACCGACAGCCGCCGCACGCCGTGAAATAGCGAAAGCTGGCAGCTCGAGGGCGTTTGAACATCGCCTCGGCCTCGACTCAGTAACCTCTGTGACCGTTTCGACGAAGCTCTATCTAAGGACGCATTCCTCAATTGCTACAAACGAGTTCTACTAAGATTCGACGAAGGTAATCGCATGCGATCTTACCGTTGGAAAGGCCAGCCAGCAGAGAGCTCTATCAAGCTCCCAGCTTCCCATGCCCTAACCTTCCTCTAAGCAGCAGCAAAACGGTCCAGAAATGCCTCAAGCAGTGAAGAGCCGAGCTTAGTCGTTAGTGTATAGCCGAGGACGACCCATTGATGAAAACGGACGGTGAATGCGGAATGGTCAAGACGGACAGCGTCTGTTAGGAGGAAATGACGGTGGGTCTGAAGAGCTCTCTTCCCTCAGGTACGGTCTCAAGCCCCAAGCACAAGGCCCTAGTGAGCTCGGTAGCTCGGGAATCTGGCCTCTGTTCCCGCGCCGCCCAGGGCCAGCTCCTCAAGGCTCGTGCAGTGCTTTTTGCGTGGCGGGCTGCCCTGTAGTGTAGCTCTCAATTCGACGTCAGGAGCCTGTAATCAAAGCGCGCGACAGGAAAGTAGAAAATTAAGACATGGGATGTGATATCTCTCCCAGGCTGTACCCCCAATGCGGCCTAGTTCCCGTGCGTCGGGAAGTGTCGGGCGGTGCCACTGGAATGAGTGTGAAATTTCTTCTCTTAAGGCCACCAGGGCCCTACTACTTTTGCTGCATGGCAGGTTTTAATTGTCCGTTTGCGCCGAGTATCTCTCACAGAGGCCTTTGGCACTCTTTAGCTGAGTCGGTCTAATTGATGCTTCTATTTGACCTCCAACACGCCTACGGTCGCCCATATTCCCAAACACCCCAAACAAAACCAAAAAATTGAAGTATCCTGCACTTCTGACGTTGCCTTAGGCTCAGCTTCCCGCCTCGCGTGGCTGCAGGCCCAGCCTTGCAAGGGTGCTAATGATCGCAATTTAGCGACCTGCATCTCGGGTTGCCCTGGGCCCCCTGGGAACCAATCGCCCGGTTATTGCAATGGCAATTCTAGAAAAAGGGGCCCGTGGCCCTGTAAGATGCAGGTGTCTTCAAGTGTGTAGGGATTGATTGCAGGCGGAAAGTTGACGAAAATTTTTCTGTCCTGCGTCACACACACACTCGCACATGCAGCTGAGCTCCCTAGAGCTTCCGAGATGGCCCAAGCTCCTTGCCATTCCTGGCTTCTTTCAACAGGTGCCATGATGGGCATCGGTCTCCATCATGTACATAGTTTCTGTCGGCTATGCATGTGAAGCCAGAGTGCTATTGCTCATGAGAAAAGCTACCGAAATATCATGCTTTGATCAGTGCTCGAGTTCAATCGCGATCCGGCCTCCACTGGAAGAGAGAAAAGAAACATCACCGAAGAGTTCAGATGCTGTCCGATGCATGCCTGAAGTTTCGACGGCGAATGTTGCTGTCGAGAGCCATCCACAGCTCATGGGTTGATTTAGCATGCACAGGCACCAGCTGACTTTATCTTAGATACGCGGCAACACCTACATGACATTCTGCCGTCCGACGATTTCGGTCTACTACTGCGCTGAATCAAGACCGATCTTGACGAGGTAAATCAAGGTGGCGCCAGTGTTGATCGCCCTCCTTCCCGAGAGAGCCGATCAGCTTGACGGGGCTTCTCCCCATCGTTGAATGTGGCGTCTGGAATACAGCGTGGGCGGGTTCGAGTCCCGTTTTCTCGAGCCTAGTTTTTGGAAGGCCACCTGTCATATCCCGACGTCCTGTGGCAATGCCGCGAATAGGAAAACTACACCTCGAGATATATCTTGGAGAGCTTGGGCGAGGCTTGTGAGGCGACGTGCTGCTCTCTCTCTCGTGTGGATTGCGTGGGAGAGCAAAACTCGAGCGGGGACTAGGGGTGTCTCGCGCTGTTGTGCTCTCCTGGACCATCCGTGGCTGGTAGTCCCAGTTATGCGAATGTCAGTAGAATCCTAGTTAGGCAATCACACTTGCCATGCTTAAGGTTCTTGGTCATGGCATATATGTGGTCAGTTGGCAGTCACGATCTGATGGGAACATCACAACGAATCATCAAAGTCACAGAGCTCAGTAACTGTGGCTTGGTCATTGTATCTCGTGCTTGACTGAATACCCAGGCCTTATCCACCAAAAACGGTTCTCAAAACCGATGCCAAGCTATGGACGCATCAGGATGTTGCTCACGGTTTCCCCATCAAAAGCTAGTCGAAGAGTAGAGTAGCAACAATGGCTACTCCACAAAGGTAACTGAAGCTCGCTTGCTCTGCGAACCAGCCTCGGGCTCCTTGAAGGAGATACGCCGCAGCTGAATGACTGTGGCGACACCAACGTCATCCTTGGGAGCAGCAGATTCAGCTCTGGCGGGGGGCTCTTCGGTGGGGGGCTCCTCAGGAGCTGGCTCTGGCTCGATGTTGACACTGGCGCGGCTGGTGTGTCTACCTCTTCGCTCAACCCCTCTATTTCTTCGGTAGATGAGGTAGGCCAGTACAAGCGAGGTTGCCCAGAGCAGGCATACCATGACCAGGCCGACGATCATGCCGACTCGCCATGCACTGTAGGCATGTCCAGATGAGTGAGTAGCAGGCTTGGGGATGGTGCTGGGGATGTCGTCGCCAGGTCCCTCTGTTCGGCTCCACACCATGCTGAATGTCATGGTTGGAAGAGACTCATCGGTAGGGAGGTTGGAGGGGACGGTGATCGGCAAGGAGGTGACAGAGTCATCCTGAGGAGAGATGGGAGCCATCGTGGAGAAGACAAGTCTATCAGGGGAGGTACGAACCACACTCGTTGTCATTGTGGTTGCGGCATTGACGTCAGATTGAAAAGGGATTTTAGCTGGAGACTTGATCAGGGGTGAGGAGATGCTGAAGACTCCTGATTTGTCGCGGACAGAGCCCATTCCATCATCGATGGTGATGAAGTACAGCGTCGCATACTGCTCAAGATGAATTGGCCATTGGAATTCTCCCTTGAGGTAGTCAATGTCAGCTATCGAGGCTTGTTAGCTTCAGGTGAGCTGCAACTGATCTCTGCGCATCGATGCTTACTGCCGATCGTCTGAAGCGGTTCATTATCTGGTGCTCCCCAGAGATTGATGCGGAAGGGACCGCCATCAGCTGAAGAAGAAGCCCACTGGACTGTATAGATCGTATCTGCTTGAATAATCTCTTGTTCGTGGGGGCGGGTGATCACGCCCACAGTCTCAGCATTGGGATCAACGAGGTCGGGGTGGATCTTGAGGCTGGCAGTGAGCCAGGCCTGGAGCAGGAGGGCGAGGTAGATCGCGTATAGGAACATCTTGTCTTCCAATAGTCGGAGCGATCTTGGAAGGATGGTTGTCGGAGCTGAGCGAAATTGGTCGTGAGTCTGTCGTCGACGAGCTCAGGGTGCGATCTGGGGGTAGGTGAGCGGGTGATGGGGAGAACAAATTCCAATAGTATTTGTTAGAAAATAAGGGCTACTGGCAAGCACGTGGTGGTAAGAAAGGTCACTGTGATGTGAGAACGATTTGTTTCTTTTTTGTTCCAAGGCAACACTGTCTATCTCCTATTTGGGATATTGGCACTCGTCAAGTATCAGACGAAACCCTTCAGACGCTAGTACACAACCGATGAATACGATGAATATCGCTACTAACAAGCCTCAAGCATGTGAAGCACCAGATAGAATTTGTTCCCAGTGTTGTCCAGAGTAGAGGTTATACTCTGAGACAAATAGCATGTTGTGAACAGCTTGATTCTCCTGTATTGTGTCATAAAGAATCACTTTGAGAAGTGTGGTAGAAGAACATTAAAATCAGTCCGTCTATATTCATAAAAGCTTCTTTATCTCGTTACACTGTAATCCAGCATGCCAACCAAGCTCAAACCCAACGCCTCGTAACATATGCCATCTGTATGCACAAATGTCACTCAAGCATAATATCGTGACCTAGAGACCCCAAGAGACCCAGGAAAGCGCTTTCCATTCATGATAGGCACGGGAGGCCGCTTCTTTGATGGAAGGGAGTTCACAGCGTTCCACATCTCCATGATACCAGCCCGCCGAGCAGGGAGCATGCTATATTGCAGGCTATAAAGATTCTTTCGGTTTATTGGCGGGACAAATTTGCCAGTGAGCAGGCAAAAGAATACTCGTGGTGAGAGGTAGTGTTTGCGGATGCGCTGAGCCATCTGGAAGTACTGATGGAACATGGCTCGGAAGGTCAGAGGAATGGACTTTTAGCGGTTAGCTTGACTCAAGACAGTGTGTCTGTATATCAGGGGACGAACATTGAGGTAGATTACGGATGTGAGGGGTAAGGTTGTTGGCGAATTTACAGCAAGTCTATTTTGGGTATCTTGAAGTTCAAAGCGAATGCCCCCTAACATTTGTCAGTCAAGCCACAAAAGGTATCAGTCTGTGAAACCACCAACCTGGAAGTCTCCTTGGATCCTTTATCCGGAGCATCAAGGCGAAAAGAGGGAAATGGTTTAAACAAGAAAGTAAAGTATCAAACATGGCTTTGAGAAAGATAATGGCCATCCGGGCGATGGCAAAATTCAAATAGAAGACGACAACAGTCGGCAGCAAAAAGAACAGGAGAGTAAAGAGGATGGTGCCAACAAGGAGTTGATCGAGATCATAGTCGCAGGAGTCTATACGGTTGCGGAGAACGTTGTGTTTCTTGCCGCGGAAGAGGTGGAATAGCGACATGAGGATATTTAGCTGCCAATGATATATACGTGCAGAGGCGAGATAAAACGAGTAAATGTGCACAGTGAGGATGGACAGCAGGTCTGACAGCAGAGCGACTGGCATGCTGGCGCCCGCGAAGCTGGAGAAACCAATGAACCAGATGATCTGCGGCAGCATAGGGCTGAGCTTGTCGAGACAACCTTCGAACATTAGCTAAGACCTCAGTAATAAAGGGGAAATACGTGTCATACTTGACCAGTAGTCAATGACCCAGAGAAATAGGTCACCAAGGAACGCTGCAAGTTCGCTATTGAGTTTCAAACCGGCTGGCCAGCCCATGAGCCATGATATACTGCTTTGTAGAGCCTCAACAGTGTAAGCCCTTAAGAGCAAGCTGATCTGTGCTGCAACCCAGTTGGCATTGTCTATGATGTAGGAGCCGAGCGCGATTCCGATGATAACATCATTCGCAACCAGCCAGAGACTATTATAGAATCTGATGTAGTCTGGATGGCTGGTTGTGACGCTCTCCCAATCATTTTTCCTCTGTCTGAGGGTGACATACTGCATCGGCCAGTAACAGAACTGCTGCAGCCGGATCTCGACTTGCTGTGCGGTGGCAGATATGTCTTTCAGAGCAGCGTAACGAGGTCGGCCTCTGTACTCTAAGATGCGCAAGAGCATCTCTGCAACAATTCGATGTCCAACAAGTCCGAAGACGAATGCCTTAGTGATGACTGGGAAAACATAGAGTGTGAATAGCTCCCAGAACCATAACATCACAAATGTTTTCATTGCATCAGCAGATTCCACCACGCGCTCTGAGACACTAAGACTCCTCTTAGGCCGTGTGCCGATCTTTGAAACGTTCTTCTGCAGTAGTTGCTCGAGTTCCCAAGCCCAATTGATTTGATTGACAATTTTGGGTAACGCCTTTTCCTTTGGCGACGGGACTCGCTTGATAACAGAGTGTTGTTTAAGCTTTTCGACTAGTTGCTGTTTCTTCTCATTTCTTCTCCGCTCCTGCTTCTCTTCCTCCGCCTCGATATCATCGACCGGTGGCAGCCTGATGCCTGTTTGTTTGTCTCCGAGCGCTAGAGAAATCGGATTGAGGGAGATGTATTGCATTCGTGTTGGTATAGGCCGCTGATAGAGGACAATTTGGATGCTTGACGCCTTGGCACATCGAACTTCAGGAACCCGCATGCTCGGGCCATTTGTCACACGAACCCAGGAGGGGTCGATCTCTTGTGAGTCGGAAGCATTTGAGATACCTAGGACATGGACATGTGCTTGGCCACAGAGCTCGAACATCCGACCAATATTATGGGGCGCATTTCGGAAGAGTGTGTGCGATTTAAGGGCACCTTCGACATTCCGGGCCTATGAGGTGTGAGCAAGTTAGAGAGCAATTGACCACAAGGTAAACTGACATCGACTGCGTCTAATATGGCCACGACAAAGACGTCCAGCCCGGAATTTCTCCAGCCCACTACTACCCCGGTCAATTCTGATCGTGGCAAGTCAGTCGGCCAGAATATCCGCATCAACCCATCATGCTCTGGCATGACAGACAACGGCGTCCTTGGGACTTATTGACTAGAATGAACCTCGGCGCCTCAACTGTTCTCGTGCAGATATGCCTGATCCGGGCGATCGGGGGTGCTTGATCGGGGGCTGTCAGTATTAACGCGAGTAATCGAATGTGGGGTTGTAGTACCAAAGTTGACTCTCTCGTGGCCAAGCGTTCCACAGGTATGAGGACGAGAGCGAAGAGGAGAGATAGTATGGCAAACCCCTTGGCGGCACGAGACTAGAGATTGAACAACACGGGTCAGTACAGGTAGACCCTCTGACGATGGCGGGGCTGGCCATGTATGGCGCAACATGCTACTTACGACAACTCCGTAGTCCCAAGCGAAGATGGCAAGCTCATAGAGGCGAGTGACCAGATCCCAGCGAGCGGTGATGTAGCCAGCTACGAATATCCCTAGCGTAAGGATGGAAAAGGGGTGCATAGAATCGCTGTCGCTATGAGAAGCGCATGCCGAGACCTGGGAGACGTCGAAGGGTGGGGAGAAGGGAGGAAAGACGCGGGATGCGTGTAGAGGGCAACTTGTCGACTAGCGTTGGGAGGAGTGGAAGGGTGGTTCTTCAGATCGAGAAAGAGGCGATGCTTTTGCCGGAAGCTCAACGATAGACAGGCAGGCAGAGACAAGAGTCGCACAAGATGGGATGAGGGGGACGATCGTCAGCGGTGCCGAGAGAGGCGGCTCTCGAGGGGAAGAGGGAGGGAGGTTTGTTGTCCTTGAGGCAAAGGCGTGACGAGGCGATGCGGATTGTGATGTGGAGCAAATGGCGGCTGGCGCAATACTGTGTGCTGCCAAACCCGTGCCCAGATGGTCTGGATCTGTTAAATTGAACCTTGGAACACCCCTGTCCACTGCATCTGCCGCTCGGTGGGTGCTACCGCAAACGCTAAACAGGCCGCGCAACACGCCGAGATCGACAATGTCAGGAGTGCACGTGTGAGGGCTGTCTTAGATGCTGGCCGCAATAGTAATAGCTTAGCACGATAGCCGAATTCACCTTGAGTCTACGTCTAAGGACGACCAAAATGCATCAAGCTGCAACTTTTTGGGGCGCTGCAGGCAAGCAGGATCTTAAGCTCAGTGAGGTGAATGAAGTGTTATGAAGTGAAGTGGAGGGAGATGACAACGGTAATTTAGACTGTGCCTCCTTCCTGGTGGTCAATTACAGCATGCAGCATCCGCGAATTAGGTCCGCTGCATTTCACCATCTGGTCGTCCACCACCAGATCTGGCAATCCTATCACCAATAGCCCCTTCACTAACACCGTCCACGTACGCCATTTGGCGCATCTGGCACTTGCTCTTGAGAGCTTTTGACCTCGGAGAGCAATCAACGGTGCATTTAGGGATAGACCATGACTGACCGTATACCAAGGTTGAATGCCATGGTTTTTTCATGTCCTCGGATCTTGCTCCTCGCACTTGATCAGAGAGTTATCTTCAGGATCCTTGAGGTTTCTTTATGTCTCGATATAACTTAATCTATGTACAAGTGAGTTGCTTGCAATTGGAGATCTATACACTCTTTTGTGTGAGGCGGGAATCCCATGATTGTGTCAAACTCCGAAACGCCACAAGTGATATGCTAATGCAGTCCGTCCGCATCCTGTCGAGAACCATTCGTTTCCTAAGAATGTTCAGTATCATGACCTCCACATTTGATAAATCAACATACATTTCCTGCCAAGATAGGTGGCATCGTTTTCCTTATTATCCTCCCGAGCATCTTCCAGCAATTTGTCGATGCCACGTTGTTTGAGGGCAACCTGTAGATGGTTAGAACGATGGTTCGTTACTACTAGACCTAGCCTTGTCTGGTCAACAACAAGAGCCCCTTACATTCAGGCAAGTCTGGTAATCTTTGAAGAGTTTTGCACAATCATTGTCATCTGGCTTCCCAATCCCCCTGAGATACTCTGTCTTTGAATCAGCAAACAGACCGCATCGCCAGACGTGAGAAAACCCTACTTTCGCTATACCACTTGAGAAAACAAGTATCGTACCGCCTACATCGTCAGCAACCCTTACACATAAAAGTTCTCGGTGAAATACTTACTCCTTTACCTCATTGCACTCCGGGGCAAGAGATCCAGACATCTTGAGGTGAAAATTGTCGACCGGCGGTTGATTCGGCAACTACCTCGATCCTCCCTGACCACCTTGAGCGTGGATCGCGACTGCTGCACGATTCCTCAAGCGTGTAAACAGAAAGAGAGGCAACTTTCGGGGTCTGTTTAGTCTATTCCAGTATCACCGAGCTGCATCGGCTACTGCCAAAGTGTTCGTAGTGAATGTCGTCGCCGATTCTACGTTGGTAAAAGCAACCGCAAGTTTGACGTCTTGCCACTTCCGCTAGAGCTCTTTTGAGGTCATCGCACCAAGACACCTTATCGTGCCTTATCGGAGGACAGCCTAAATCCCTACCCCACAGAGTACCGAGACTTTGGTCAGCCGCTATAACAGCACTAGAACTGGCAGCAACGAAGTACTTTTACCTCTCCTACGATCACACTAAAGCAGGGTTCTCCAACTTGCGCATCGTGCCGGCCGAGACCTGGAAATTTATTTTTCTGAGAGCAGGTGTCTGTATTGTTCCACCAAGCCCTCCTCGCAATTGAAAGAGAGCTCGAAGCAGCACTGCTGAGCAACGATCATCGCAATGGATGCTTCGCAGGACTTCAAGTCCTTGCAGGAGAAGATCCAGGGCGCACTTGTTGGTACCACCAAGTCCGCCAACCGAATCGCAAACGAGGATCTCAGCTTCCAGCGCACCGCCAACCCCTCCGTAGGAGACAGGCTCGATGACCAGACGGAGCGTCTGCTGAGCCTTGCCAGCGGGTTGCTTCAGTCTGCTGGCAAGGCGACAGACCAGAGCGCGCCATCTTCCTTCGACGACGCCGAAGATGTGGACATACAATGGCGGGGCATCGTGGATGTGATAGATTCACTCCTCGAGAAGGCAGACACGTGCTTGGACGAGTACACAGGCTTAGTGAAGCGGAAGGTCGCACCTGTCGCAGATGCAGTGAGCACTCAATGCCTTAAAACCTCCACTTGGGACAGTTCCTGACAGATTTTAGGGTTCGAAGCCGAAGAAGTCGAAGACTAATGACCGTCTTGATTACAACATTCGCCGTGCGAATATCGTCAAACCACAGAATGCCTTCGAGCGCAGACCAGACAACTTCCACAAAGGGCCGTGGAAACCTCTCTTATCCCAGAAACCCCATGCATTAGTGCCGCTGGAGGAAAGCCTTGGCACCTTCACTGATGAGAATGAGACCACTCAGTACGACTATATACTTTCTTTTCCCCTTCTCCTTCTTCCAAATCGTGGTCAAAAGGTCGAGGATATGTCCCCGAAACATTTGCAAAGATATTACAAGAGGATCAATAAAGTAAAAAACATGGGCTCAACGCGGGATACTGACGGTAGATTCAGGTTCAAACACCCATATGAGACAGAGGTTTTGAAACTCCAGTACCCTCCGACCGTATACGAGAAGAGAGAGCCGATCCCATATCTCCCGGCTGAAGATACAGCAGCGACCTGGGTAGATACGTATGAAGGTGTTCTCGCCATGCTGGAGGAACTAAAGAAAGCCAAAGAGATCGCTGTTGATCTTGAACATCATGACTTCCGAACTTACAATGGATTACTTTCACTCATGCAGATTAGTACCCGTGAAAAGGACTGGATAGTGGATACTCTCAAGCCATGGCGACACCAACTAGAGATTCTCAACGAGGTCTTCGCTGACCCGAGCATCGTCAAGGTATTCCACGGTGCCTTCATGGATATTGTTTGGCTACAGAGAGACTTGGGCTTGTATGTCGTCGGCCTCTTCGACACTTTCCATGCCAGCAGTGCTCTCAACTATCCGGGAAGAAGTCTTGCCTATCTTCTGCAAAAATTTGCGGACTTTGAAGCCGACAAAAAATATCAAATGGCCGACTGGCGAATCCGGTAAGCAGCTGTCGTCAATGTTCGTGAATTTTCAGCAACTGACCCTTCTAGACCGTTACCGGACGAAATGCTCTACTACGCCAGATCTGATACACATTATCTACTCTATATCTACGATATGTTGAGGAACGAGCTTGTTGAGAAATCCGACCCAACCGATCCGGAAAAGAATCTGGTTGAATTTGTTCTGCAGAAGTCGAAGGAAGTCTCACTTCTCCGATATGAGGGCTTGACAGCAGACCCATCGACTGGCCAAGGACCTCGAGGGTGGTTCAATCCTCTCACAAAGACGCCTTCCGCGTTCAGCAGTGAGCAATTCGCAGTCTATAGAGCTGTTCACAAATGGCGGGATGACCTTGCTCGCCGGGAGGATGAGAATCCTCAATTTATTATGCCACAGCATGTCATGACTGACATCGCGAAGATTATGCCGTCTGACCCGAAGGCACTCTGGAGTCTATTTCGCGAGTCCGCTCAGATAGTACGGCGATCAGTTGATGAGCTATTTGCCATTATTCAGAAGGCAAAGGCCGAGGGGGTAAATGGGCCCACGATGGTGGACTTCTTTCGTGGTGACACTATGGGGTCTATAGCCAGTCACCTGGCAGCGACGAAGAACAAGGCATCCGATGAAGAGCTGCCTGCTGCGAAAGAACTGCGGAGCGAGAATTCCCAGCTTTGGGGCACTGTGCCCCTGAGCAGCGTCTGGGATCAGACATCCCGGGGGACTGCGGCATCTGATAACGTCCAGATTGCCGTGCCATGGTCTAACTTTGTGCAGGGACTTCGAGCTGCAGTCCCTGACACTCCCCCCGAGCCGAAGGCTGAGAAAGAAGATCCGGACGTAGACATGCTACCACTGGAGACCTCAGTCCCTGATACCGAGTTCACGTTGAGGGCTGGCAGAAAGCGTAAGGTCGAGGAGACGTTAGAGACGAGCCAGGAGTTTCCGG